GCGGCGGCTGCGGGCGCCTCAGGGCAGGCCCGGCGGCGGCGCGCCCCTCATCGCGGTGTCGCCCCCTCAGAGCTCCGGGCTCGGCGGAAGAGCCCCGCCGCGATTGGGAGCCCAGGTAAGGCGGCAGGTGTGGGCGAGGACTCCGCGGAGCATCCCGGGGTGCCGCGCTGGGTCCGTGCCCGGTGCCGCGCTGGGTCCGTGCCCGGTRCCGCCGTGAGGGGCGGCGGGGACTGCCGAGGCCCGGGGCTGCACGGGGCCGTGCTCACCGCTGTCTGTGCTGCTAACGGAGAGGGGGAACACGATGTGACACGTCTAACGCTTAGGCCTGGSTTGGCAGCGTAGCTGAAATAATTCCCTAAACGACCCCCTGTTTATTAACTTCTCCCTTCCTTGCGCTCCCCTCCCGCTCGCAGCGGGCGAAGCTGTGGGTGTTGAGCACGCTGGTGACAGCGGCGTTCGGCATCGGCAGACGAATCCGTTGGGATGGGAGGCTGCGGGGTTTTACGGGAGCAGTCTGTGCAGTGCCGGCTATCCAAAGTGCGGGGTTGAGGGAATCATCGTGGGTTTGTTCTGATTTTAAACTTCTATCGCAGCAGTTCCCTTGCCAGCAATTTATTTTTTTTTGTACATAGAAATGTCTTGGATAATAGGTGACATGAGATGCCCTTGGGGACAGAAGCTGGATGGTTGTTATGTTGTGTCATCCCTTCAAATTTCTTGCCCTATAAAAAACCCATAACCTAGTAAAACATTCAGGATCAAGACTGCAGGTTTTCAGCTCTAGGTCTAATCTCCCACCACAGAATAGGACCTGTTTTCATCAGTGTCTGAGTTGCACGTCTGTCATTTAATAACCAGACTCCAAGCTGCCAAATTTAGCTATGTCTGGGTCCTTCACTTCTAGTCCTCCAGCCTGCAAAATGGACCCCTTAATATCTAAAAAAATCTAGATTTTGCATGAGCTATCCACATGCAACCTGTAATTCRTGGCATCTTGTCCAAGCTAATGCAAAGCAGCGCTGTGGGACCATATGAAGACTAAAATGTGAGTGAGTCTCTCAGCATGCGTGTGCTTCCCACTGCTCCTGCGGGCAGCGGGACTGCTGTGGTGCTAGCAGCCTTTGCAAATCGTAGAGGATCATCCCGGTATGGGGTTTGCTGTGGGATTTGCAGGTTCAGTCCCTCCAGGTCTCCTCACCCTGCCTGACCCCGTGCTGTGGCGTTTGTGTTGTCCCTGGCGCCGCCGAGGGAGTGCTTCGGGAGCCTGGTGCCCTGCTAGGGGTCGTGTGTGTAGAAAACAGAGGCTTTGTTTCCAAATCAGATTAATACAGTCTCTTTTTAAGATGTTTGGATAAAATTGGACTACGATTTATGTTAAATGAAAGAAAGRGTGAGTCACTTTACTAGGAGCAGAGAGCATTATTCTCCAGTCATTCTGGGCTGCCAAAGCAATACAGACAGTCATGAGTGTGATGGCCAGGTCCTTTACTGCAGGAAATAGAAAAGCCATTCATAGAAACTATATGGAGAGAGGAAATATTTTGTTGTGCTCCAGAGGAGAATGTGATCATTGTTGTTTTGTCTTGAAATGTAGTTAAACTATAGTGTCAAAATTCAATTGGCAGTCCATGTCCCTTACAAACATGGGAAGATTTTTRTCACAGTGATATCTTGTTGGGCTTTGCTCTACGTGTAAGAATGATACTGCGTTCTGTGCTCGTTGTGCTGTTTTGAGAAACTCGATCTACAAGTGATCAAGATGCTGAAAGTGCAGTCCAGCGGGAGGAACATGAAGCTCGCCTGTATTGTTAATAATTCTGTGTCCCTGTTTCATTTTGYGAAGGGAAGTAATAAAAATGGAGTGTAATGATTCCAAACATCCAGAAGCTTCTAGCCCTATTCTGTTCTGCATTGGAATCAGATGGTGGTGTTGCATGGGGGGCACAGATTTGGGGAGGTGGGAGCCGGGGGCTGCAGCTCTCCCGCGGCTGCTGCTCCTGTCACATGATGCTCTGCACAGTCCCCTGCTCACACTGCAGCTGCCTGGCTGCCGTGTGCCACTCGCATCTCCCCTCTTCTTGCATCACTTTTATTCTGCTTTAGCTCTGTTGGTGTTAAATGGAGTTGTTGAYGATCTGCTGCAGCACAGATGGATAATGGGAATTCATTGGATCATCTGGGCACATTACTTTGTTGGCTTATCTTTTATTCTGCATGGTGTACTTTGGGTAAGGAAGGAAGGTCTCTGGTGTRAAAGTCTGTTCTGAGGTGGTGTTACTGGCTAAAAAGCTGAAACGTAGCTGATTTTAACCAAAAACCCCCAATGCCCCCACCAGCCCCCTAAAGCACATTACAGTTGATTCTGACCATAAAAACCTGGATGTTSATGTCTTTTTACACATAACTTTTCACAGTTCTTATTTTTTTCATAAAAAGGATTGCTTCCATTGGAGCMATCTTTGTAGAGGGACAACCAGGACCTGTGCTTGCAGATTTTATAATAATTTTGCTGGCTGTTCTTGCATAAGAACATTCTGCAGGCTTGGCTTTTGTAGCTAAGTTGCACTGTTGAAGCACAAAAGCTCTGTTCAAGAAGTGTAATTTTTAAACATGCTGGAAAGAGAGGTATGGTACGGAGAATGTGTTGCAGCAGGAGGAGATGGTTCAAAGGAGTGGACCAAATCGTGTGTGGGAGCTGCACTGAGGGTCAAATGGAGGTCTGGTTCTGAAAAGTATGTAAGGAAGTTGCCAACACAAATATTACCTTGTGGCTTACATGTGCTGAGAGAACGCAGCACAGCCCTGCAGCAGGGATGGAATYGGGTAACCATCAATCTGGTTCCCTGAGGATGTCAGTCAGGAAAGGAAGTGTGTGATGCCAGAAAGCCTGGATGGAACTGCAGGTTTAGAGGACTTGTTGTTTGAAGTATTTTTAATTATTGCTATTAATATAATGGAACACAGATTAGAAGCTGAGGTTTTAAAATCTAATTAAAGCAGAAGTCAGCAGAGGGATTTCTTTGCTGTGAGGCACTGTTCAGGAGCAGTACCTGCTCGGGAAGGTGAATTCCCAGAGTGATGATGCTCTCCATGCAATTCCCAGGCTTGCTGACAGCTCCCACCTCCTCCCACCGGTTTTGGGGGAAAAAGTGAACCAATGGGATCAGAAAGCTTTCCCAAGCTTGTCCTGCATTCCCTTTTGTCAGAGTACAGTTCCAGTTGGAAGGCAGCCACTGGCACCTTGGCCGAGGATGGGAACAGGCTGCAGAGTGTGACGATAGCTGCCCTCCAGATCGGGCACTGGCCTCAGCTGCYATTTGGGCCAGCCAGTAAATCATTYGGCTCGCTAGAAARRAACCTCTCCATCACATTGCAGTGCAATGCTGCTTGATGTTAGCTGTTCCATTTCAAATTAATGAGTGTTCATCAAAGAGTTAAAACATCAGTTGTTGTCGGAGGAAAGAAAAAAATCTTTCTTGTAACTGGGATGCTTTTCAGGAACTTGGCTGTTGGGGAGGCGAGAGGCATGTGCTTTTCCGCCCTGCTTTAGGTGATGGCTTAGTTCAAGGGGGCCCAGATTTGGCTCAGTCAACAGTTGTGTTGGCGTCTTGCCATCAAATGTGCATAAAATGGAGCTGACTGCAATTCCCTGCTCACTCTAACATGGAGGGGCAGCCGGAGGGACCCGAGGCCGCTGTGCTGTGCYGTAGGTTGGCTTGGCTCTGAGGGTTACCCTGGGATGTGCAATCCCTGCAGCACAAGCTGTTGCATTGTGACTGGGTCGTTGCTTTCGAGTCYCTGGGTTGTATTTTGGTGTCTTGTCATAACTAATGCTTTTCAGCCCTCGTTGTGCCTGTGCTCCCAAAATCTCCCTCCTTTCTCACGGTGGCTTACATGCTTTTCCAGATGTAGGAGGTTCATCTCTCATTTGCAGRCTCTTTCTTCCTGTGATTCTGTGGCTTATGCGAATTGCCACAAAATCGAGATAAAACACAACTGGCATTTTAGCTGCTCCAAGAACATTGTGTGTAAATAAACCACTAAATAGTTCAGCCTGTGAAATGTAAATACACACAGCTCACTGCCACAGCTGATGGTGTTTTTCTGTCTCCCTTCTACCCTCCCACCCCTGCCAAGAGTGGGCCAGCCTGATGTTCTTTTTTCTCTTGCTCTTTCGTACAAAGCAAATGACTGCTAAGTACCATGTAGGTGGTATGCAGGCACCATGACAAATTCATGATTTGAATGTGGATGAGAGGAAACACTTGTGTCCTCTTCCACATTGCTTCTGCACCATCTTCTGGAGATGCCTGGATTCCAGTGACCCAGAAATTCTTTGGTCTGACTTTGAGCTTGAGCCTATTTTTAATAGCAAACCAGTGAAGTCAGTAGAAGAGCAGAGGCCCAACTGTGATGAGATTTTTAGCCTGTGCCCTTTGTTCATCCTATACACAAAAGGTCATGAACTGCTGTGAAAGAGGGATCACGCAGGGCGCAGAACAGACAAAGGTGGAACAAATTGTCAGTGGCAGAAACATAAAGAAGAGAAGCAAAAGTTTTGTGTTCTGAAGGCAATTGAAGGCCACGTGCATCCCACGGTGAGATCATGTCTCTTGTGTTCAAAGTGAGTCCACCCAGAGTGTGTTCAGAGTCTGCTGGTGAGGTGTGGCTTCCATGATCTCAGTGTAGCAGGCAGGAAGGGACTACACGGTTTCCATGGCACGATGTTAATGAGCACCTCCGCATTTTTCTTAGAGAAAAGATGCCAAAGCTGCAGTTTTGGRTACAGACAGGTGTGCTTTTAAGCAATAAAAGGATTTTTAAAGATGTCTAAAACATATGAAAAGTCTGATTCTACAGGCAAAGCATTTATTTGAAGTTGTAATAGTGAGATTGACGTTGCGTGTTGGATTTTCTGCCTGATTTGACTCAGAATGGAGATGAATTTGTGGTGTTGCCTATTTCCGTACAGGAAGTCATGAGACTGTTCTGCTGAGATGTCACAGGTAATGCAGAGGTGGCAGCTCCCCTTAACTCTGAGGTCTTACTGCGAGGCTGTTTGCAGATCTTTTCATTTTCTGATGCACTGAGGAAGGAATTATGCATTCATGTGAGAGTAGTAAACTTTCAGTTTGCAGGAATAAAATCTGTGCAACTTGTATAATACTTCTTGTGTAACTGTGTGCCTGCTCTCCTGTCACTTCCACTGCCACAGCAGTGTGCAGCTGGGGAATGTGCATGCGTGGGTTTATCTTGTTTTCTTATTTATCCTCTACCCTCTCCCTTTTTTAGGAAAAAAAATTTATGCAATTGCATGATCAGGCTTCCTCTTTTTTCTTCTTCTCCAAGCAGCTTTTAAATCCTTGTCTCACATTGCTCCAGGGAAAAAGGTCCTGAATATTATCTAGTGAGTAATTTTCACAAAATTCAAAAGAAGTTGAAGTAGAGTGATGTGTTTAGTGCACCTATTAAAGGGAAGGACTGACAGAAGAAACTTGTTAYATTGTGGGAAGCATCTTGCCAGCTGCTCAGTGTGTGTGGAGCTTTCTGTCTGTTGGGGAGAGTTGGGCTCATTGGGATGCCAAGGGAAGGATCAATCCAGGTCCATGTAGAACCAGGCTCCTGTCCCTGTAGCAGTGACTGCTACCCCTGATTTGTGTGCTGGACTGTGGGTTTCTTCGTGCACAGGCTCATTTGRGTTTGCATGTTTTTATTATTTTTTAAAGTGACTTCCCTCTTGCTTAATCTTTAGAGGTCGCARTATTTTTGCAAGTTAGCTGTAAAAATGGTGTACTTTAGTAGGAAAACCAGTTTCTTGGCCGGGCTGTGCATGCATCTTTTCCTTGTGCAGTCCCTGTGCATGTGCATGCAGCAGTGAGCAGAGCTGGGGCACAAACGCTCTGGTTGTTCTGTGAGCTCGCCCTGGGCAATGCTGTCCCYGGGCCTGAGCTCAGGTGTGGGCTCAGCCTGCTCCCAGATGCCTCCTGCAGCATCCAAGAGCTGTTGAAAAAGGAGCTGGATATGTCTGGAAGAGCTGCAGCCACTGCAGTGCAGACGTGCCCTGAGGTGAACAGTGGCTAGGGTGAGGAATGTCTGTGTTTGGTTCCAAATTTTRCTAAAAATCTTGGAATAATAAAGAAATCCTTTTCCCCTATATTTTATAAAGAAATGGTTTGATGTATAACTGCTCGTTGCCATTCCCTCTGAATTCCTGATGCCAGCAGGCTGTGAGGCTTTCAGTGCCTGTCTGGGGAATTGCTGTTTATTTATTTCARTGTTTCTTGGGCAGAATTGAGCAGTATCTCGGGAACTTCAGGGCAGTGGCTCTTGATGGAGAGTTAGGTATTCTGGCAAGAAGAATGAATTTGGGTTCTAATGCATTTTGTGTTGTCTGAGGATCTGTCAGGACTAGCACTCTGAGCAGATCACTTGGAAACACACAGATGGTTTTCCCAAAACGTGCAGTATAGCGTTGAAAGAAAACATGAGACATGAGTGTGCCAGCCTGCCGAAGGAAGGGAAGGCACACAGAGAGCCAAGGTAGGCACCCTGCTTGATGAAGGTAAGATTGGCTGATTTTTGGTGGAGATTTGAGGCATGATGATTCCAGGCTTTGTGTATCAATGATCAGGAGTTTAGTTTTATCCGTGTTATAAATTTGCAGATAAGAAATAAATACCAGCTGGGCGTCTGGCTTTGTGTCACACCCCCTTTTGGCAGTGATGCTGTRGGAGATGTGTCAGATGAAAAGTGGAAAGAGAGCTGGTCTCTGACTCAAGGTTTGACAGCTTTAAAATCCTGATAGACTGGAATGTGTTTTCCACCATTGGTTTCTGTAGAGAGCAGCTCTAGGAACCTCTTAGTTTGGGGAAAATCCTCTATCAACAAGATAGGTGAACAAACTGTGTTTGCTTTTGGTTTTTGGTTACCATTTGCACCTCTAAACAGGGAGTGGGAAGCATTTGAAAATCAGTCAAGATAACTGAGAAGAAATGATGGCTTAAAAAAAGGCAGATGGGTTGTGCCAGTGTTCTGTCAGGAAGTCAGGGTGCCACATCCAGGAAGCTGCCCCTGATTCTGCCAGTCCTCACTGATATATGATTTTACAGACCCCTGACATCATCCTGTCCACTCAGCCCTCTCTGTACACCATCGCTGCCCCTTCAGTGCTGCAGGTTTGATTTGTTCCTAGGTGAGACCCCCCCACCTTCCAGCTGAATGGCAGCTTACAGTGATCCTGATGTAACAAATCTAAGAGGATGTAATGCACTTATTGAACATATCCATGCTGGCCTTGCATTGTCAGCTGATTTYCCTGACCCAGAGCATTCCCTCGCTGCTCACAACGCCTGCCTTGCTTTGCAGGCCTCAGTCCCAGGCTAGGGCCAGTGCACAGTGCATACCATTCACTTCAGCACTCTTTTTCCCTTCCAGCTAAGCCTGGAAAACCTTAGCCAAAAGACAGCAAACCRCAGGGAAGTGGAGACGTGTGTGATGTAAGTGACAGCTGACTTTAAAAATACTGGCCAGCACCATTCCTGTCCTGTAGCCCTCCTCCCACAGCTGAAGCTGTGCCTCAGCTCCAGCTTCAACTGCCATCCTCTGGGATATCTGTAAAGCTCTGCTACTCTGGGTGCTGCAATGGGATGAAATTGTAAATTCCTTTAAAATATGGCACTAAGCAAAACTAGAATTGTGTGTTCTCAGAGTGTGTAGAGAAGAACCTGGCACACTGGATGTGAGGCTTGGCTGGCATGAGTTTTCTGCCTTGTATGGCCTGAGGAGTTGGCAAAATCTTTGAGAGAATAATAAGTTCTGCTGGAAKCCACCATTTTCTGACTTATTCTAACAGTCTTTTAAACCAATGTTTCAGTGTCTCCTTTTGCAGACTCTGGAGTGCAATTTTTAACATGTGTTACTTAAGAAAAATTGTCATGCAAAACAGGCCAACAGTTTCTTTTGCATGAAAGAAAGCAAAAAACCATCGAACATGGAACAAAAATTGAGTAGGTTATATTCCTGGTATAACTGGGCTGTTAAAACTGGGAGAACAGATGAGCACAGATCCATGTGGTAACTTCTAGTATCAAAGGGATGGAGAGGTCCCCACTGTGGATGGACTCCTGGTTGCATTTTACTTATACTGTTCTTTTGGAGCTGAGCAGTCCCTGAGGAAAGGGCGATGTCAGGAGCTGTATTCCTCCCTTTACTGTGCCCACTTGCTGTTCTAATAATAATTCTCCCTCCTGTCTGTGCTGCTGCTGCATTACAACACAGTCCCTGTGCAGGAGCACCTCCTCCTTTCCCGAGCTGCTCCTGATAGTAGCTCTTCCTTTGTACACCACCAAATACCACCCCCTCTGGATCATGATAAGTCAAAACCAGTGCATGACATAACTAATTTATTTTCCTTCTCTGTCAGCTGGRAAAGCCAGCTTCATGTATTTTCCCTGCCTTCTGATACCTTTCGCATTGGCAGGCTATGGATTTCCTAATGTATCTTTTATTGACTTCATAAATGTSCTCTTCACAGTGGATCTGGTGGATTCCTTCCATGTGAGAACTACTTGGTTTTAGAAAAACAATCCAAAATCTAGTTGTTTTTATTTGCCWGTGCCAGGGCTAACACAGATTATGTTGGCAGCGGTTGGGGTTGTTGGGTAGTATAATTTAAGGATTGTGTAAAATAAAATTCACTGCTGTGAAATGAAAAGACTGATATCTAGACTGTATGAAGCRTACTTTGCAATTTAAGCAAGCTCCTCAATTTTTGCAAATGTATCTGAAGCTTCTCTGGAGTGCCTGGACTACCACGGTGGAGTGCAGAACCCACGGCCTTGCTGCAGGATTTAGGTCACCTCGCTGCGGAGCACACAGGACCTGGGGTATTGTCCCTCTTCCTGAAATTCCTGAATCACCTCCTGGCTGCTTCTGACATCTGTTTTTTTAGGTCTCACTGTTCACTTCAGTCTCATATGTCGGTGTTTTAAGTACTTGGTGTTGTTTGTTCTGTGCTGTGTAAATGTGAATGTTTGGAGGTATCAGATGCAGGCTGGTGCTTCACAAAGTTAACGTCCTTCTTGCCAGGCTCTTGCCAAAGCTTGTGACACCTGGGTCCTATGTTTTGGACTCTGGCACCCATATTACAGTTACCTGACAGCAGGAGACACTGTTTTTACCTTTTCTGGAGCTCTTCAACAAGTGGCTTGTGCAATGCCCCTGCCCCCATGGCTTTGCACTGGTGCTCTGGTGCACTGTCACGTGGCTGTGTAAAAACAAGTGGATGTGGGCTGCATCTTGTCTAAACTAGGAAATCATGAGACTGCTTGCTTGGCAGGATGGGCCTCTAACTTACCTCAAAAGCTGGGTGGAAACTGCCAGTTTCCCCTGCATTTGTTAGGCATGAAGTAATTGCCCAGGGTAATATTTCTGAAGCCTCTTTGGTTACTGTGAAGGATTTTTTTTGGTGACAGTTGCTGAAAAAAATTAAAGAGAATTGAGGCTGGTCTCTCTAAATACAGCTGCAGGATAAACACCTCTGCAGAAAGCAAATTTGGAGAGGATTTCTTTGTCCAAGTGTCAAACCCAAGTGCTGTTTATGCTACAGTCCTTTCATTGGCAGTTTTGTGTTTGTAAAGACAGTTCTCGGAGTTACTTTATTTTGTGACTCTTGTGCCACCATTACTTTTAATTTTGCTCMGTTAACTAATGCATTGTGCAATAATTAATCCTATGCCTTGATTCTCAGCTAGGTTTTTTTAATGAGTCTTGAGAAGAGTAACCTGTGGAGAACTGCATGCTTTGTGTTACATCCCCATGGAACTGAACATGCATCTCAGTCTGGATGAGTTCATAGCAACCCTTGATTTTTGAGTAATATGGCTATTTTCCTCTTYGTAGGACTGAGCTTGCTGTAAAAGAAATCATGTCATCAGGGGGAGCTGAAGATGATATTCCTCAAGCAGAGAGAAAAACGGTGACAGACTTTTGCTACTTACTGGATAAATCTAAGCAGCTCTTCAACGGCTTAAGGTTAGTGGATTTTTGACAGTATTCCTTCAGAAAAGCCTTGGAAYACACACTGCAGTATGTGATGCTGAAATTGAGTTGTACAGTGRAATTTCAAACTCAAGCCCAGGAAGTTTGTTTAGGAGAGAGCRCTGAACCTCTGTATGGGGACTTTTGGACCATGTATGTAAGAATGTCTGTAAGAGCAGAGGTTCCAGTTAAACTAGAATTGGAAATTCCATTAAATTGATGTAATTATTGCTGAAATAGTGTGTTTGAAGGGCACAATTWAGGATTAGCTGTGACTGTGTACAGTCAACAGCATGCAAGTCCAAAACGCCAGAGTCTCTGTTGAAAATGAAAGAAATGAGAAGGATTGGCCTAGGTGGGAGGAAAGAAGGAGAGGGAATATTTTTTGGGGAAGAAATGTAGGAAGGGATAAACATAAAATTCAAACCATACCCTGTATGTGTATGGTGAAACAAATGCTTAATCTGAACTGTGGAGAAAGGCAGAATCTACATTTTTCTACAAAAACACTGCAACAACAACTAGAAAATCTGGCTGGTTTGTCTGCAGGGGAATACATGTTTGGACAGTAGTATGGATATCCTRTTTGTGTCAATATATGCTGAGTTAAACAGCATGTATCCAAAGCTGCTTTATTTCTAAGCTTTGCTGTAGAGTCTCTTAAGTACCAGGTTTTGAGCTCATATCTGGTTGGCAGTTCAGCCTCTTACTGGTCTCTGAGTAATGCTGGATGTTTGGGCCCTTCTAGCTCRCTGTTAGTCTAACACAGATGGTTAGCAAAGATGCTTTTAATTCCTCCACCCCCCCTGCTATTGRTAATCCTTTCATGTGCTTTAGAAGTTGATTATCAAAGCCAAAACAAACAGTTTGTGCTCCAAAATCTGAATGGCAAATGGGCAGTAGAGAAAAGGAGATCTTGGTGATTGCACTTGATCCCTCAGGAAAGACAGTCTAAAGCAAAAGGACTGAGATCTYRAGACCARMGTTTCCAGGACTGTATGTGACATKYCATTGGCTTTCTGATAGATTTTGCWTGAAATTTTGGCCCAAATCACTGAAGAGTACAAATGAACACAGTTCATGTGTGGCTGCATTCTGCTCCAGTTCAGAACAGGGAGGTGGCAGAGCCTCCAGCCATTCTGTCTCTCTTTAGCCATGGAGGGAGGTAGTACTTGTATCAGATTTCGAGATGAGAGATGGAGTTTCTCAGTATATCCATGATACTTTTCCAGAAAGAAACCTTCTTGTTCAGCTGTGAAAATGGAAAATATCTTTGGATGAAGTATGGCCAATAAAAATAGAGAGATGGGCTTAAGCAGCCAGTTCTKCTGTGTGAGAATAGGAACATTCCAGAATGGGAACCTGCCCCTATAACCTGGCACAGTTACTTCTTACACTTGACCACTATTTCATCTCTAATACCTGTGATTCCCATGGGTGTAATGACAGGATATATCAACATTTTAATTCTCAGGTTTCTCCTCTGTTAGTRCTTGTTCTCTGGGGAGTTCACCTGGAAATGTCTTGGCAAGCATCCCAATTCTTAGTCCAGTTGCTTTCTTTTTCCTCCAGCATAATAAATGCATTTGATGCATATCTGACACCTTCTGTTTTGAAGATTTGCTGCTGTGATTTATGCCATTCTCTTGTCCCTACCACGTTTCATGGAAAAAGAAGTGATGGGGGAGGGAGAGGAGAGCAATGATTTCCTTCCCAAAACCTCCTCTGGGCACTTCAGCTACAGGGAGCTGAGCCTATAGCTGTGTTGGCAGCTGCTTAGCTGTTGCTGCTGCCAAAAATTGCAAAGGCTCAGCCTGCCACGTCTTTGTTTCAGTAGCATTTCCTTCCTCTCTTCCCAATACAGATGCCAAATACAGCATTTGAGGAAAACATATGATGGTCTGCCAAGGTTGCTGCTCGAAAGTGTACTTTGTGTTTCCAGTGTTACCATCACCTGTGACCATGTCTGCTAGGATAACATGGGGGATTGTTCTTCTAGTGTCTGTACCCTGGACTATAAATTAGACTAAACAGTTAATGAAGTGTGTTYCAATGGCTCTCTTCTCCTCTTTCTCCACTCCCACTTGCTTTTTTCTTGAAAAAGGCTGGAAAGAGGGAGGGTGTAAGGAAGCAGTTTGTCATGGTGTACTGTCACTGGCATTATTTGTTTTTTAGTATTAAAAATTGCTTAAATGTGTTCAGTATCACAAAGAAGCCTGAAACTTTAAGGAATTAATGACTTTCTGCAACTATACTTTAGGGAGCTGATTGTCCCTTTGTACTGGGCACTGGTGAGGCACCTTGTCCTGTTCTGGGYCCATCATGGCAGGAAGACACTGAGGGGCTGGAGCATGTCCAGAGCAGGGAACAGAGCTGGGGAAGGGACTGGAGCCCCAGGAGGGGCTGGGGGAGCTGGGAAAGGGGCTCAGCCTGGAGCAAAGGGGGATCAGGGGGGACCTTGTGGCTCTGCACAACCCCTGACAGGAGGGGACAGCCGGCGGGGATTTGGGATCTGATCCCAGGAACAGGGACAGGAGGAGAGGGAACGGCCTCAGGCTGGGCCAGGGCAGGGCCAGGGGGGACAGCAGGAGGAATTTCCTCATGGAAAGGGTGSTCAGGCCTTGGCAGGGGCTGCCCAGGGGACTTTGCAGTCCTCATCCCTGGAGATGTCCAAGGAACAACTGTGTTTGACTGTGTATCCTGTAAATTTGTAGTAAGATGCACGTGTAGAATCTCTCAGTTTTCATCCACGCTGCTGCTGCTGCTTCAGAAGCCACAGGACTCTGTCAGTTCAAGTGTTGCTGTAGGCTCTGTGGTCCCAGGAAGGGTCTGGACTCTTACCCTGAGTGCACTGGGGCTCTGTGCTCGTATCTGTGTTCTGAAGGTCCATGGGGAAGCTGCACTGTTATCCCACTGCTCTCACGTTCTGGCAACAGGAGCCTGTMACTACTACAAGCCCATGAACATAAAAGGAAATTGTCTCTTTTTATCACCTGTCAAAACTGTGAATGTATTTAAAGCTTTGAATGTTACACTTACAGTTATTGTAGCCTTCCTCTTTGAAGCRTGCTTCGGAGTCTCTGGGACTTTCTCAGCATCTTTAATGTCCCTGTGTGACAACTTCTACGTGGTGCTGCCCAAGCACACTTCAGCACCTTTAATTGGGTTTCAGCCAGTATTATCTGGCAGCATGGCTAAAATTAACTCCTGRCAGAGAATTAATTATGAGTATCTATGTAGTGCTGGTCTTTGTGGAGACAAAGAGTACAGCAAGAATTGGATAAAATTCTGGACTGTGTGAAATTTATCCACCAGCCACTTTAGTGCAGCAAGAGAGCAGTCTTCTGTGCCCAGGGTGAGAAACCCATCGTTCTAGAGCATCAGGGTTTGTGTTTTCATATCCCATTTGGAATGTTTGAAAAGCCAAGAAATTGGAAATGGTTTCCACTTGTTGTTGCAGGCTATTGTCCTGTCCTAAAYCAAATCCCCAGTCCCTCCTCTGCATTTGGATTCATTTGGTTGCTCCTTTATCCCTCCTCTGGTGGTGTCCAGCCAGAGTGTGTGTCCCTGCATCACCGATTCTGTGCCACAGCCTGGGCTGGGCACTCCCTGCAGGAAAACCTGCTGCCTTTGTCTCTCCTCACTGCTCTGGTGTCCTTCTGTAGGTCTGGAAGCTGCAAAATGTCTTGCTATAACATAGGTGTTTAGTTCTCAATTTGAGTGTGTAATTGCCTCTGGATCCTGCATTCCCCGTTTCCTTTAAGGGAGGAGCTCTGTTAGAAGTCTGCTCTGCAATCAGTYGAGCCTTTGGGATTCTTTTTGTGCTATTTCTCACCAAATAATGCACATCCCCATGTCCTATTTAAAAAACCGCACTAAATGTTCTCTTTTGCTTCTGCATCCATTTTCTCATGTCAAAATTTCTCAGTACCTGGAAGCAACATGCATGATGCTCAGCACACAGCAGTAAAGGGATGGCAGGAAGGGCAGCTCTYGTCTGTGAAAAGCTGTGGTGAAACCTCACTAATGTATTGTCATAAATGAAGTTTTATTACAGCCATGTCAGAATACTATCAAAAGAACAAGTGCTACTGTCTGTTTCCATGGAGATCTTTCCCGTTCCCTGGGGAGCTGAGGAATCCATGGTATTGTGCAGCTATGCCAGCTGCAATTAGGCAGGCACGCTGCTTGAGGAATATCTGTGTGGACACCCAGCAGTGGCTGTGGACAGCACTGGTCAAACACATGGACACTGTACCAACAGGGGCTTCTTCAAATGCCACTGATTTTCAGATCCTCAAATCTAATGCAGTGCTGTGAGTTGAGCTGGGCTTTATGTTAAGGTTATGTTAGAATGCTTAGGCTTGTGCAGAAGGGTGTGGAATGGGGGGTGACAGGTGAAGTATARAGAGTGTATTAATTAAATTAGCTCACTGATAGGAATAGATACATGAGCATGATCAGCCCGTGGTTGCCTGCTTATTTCTTAATTTGTGTCATACCTCCTTCCCAGCATTTGTGAGAAGGGTGCATCCTGTCATGTTGGGCTGACTGGATTCTGTTCCCTAACTCTCCCTTTGTCACTGTCTCTTGCAGGGATTTACCTCAGTATGGGCAGAAGCAGTGGCAATCCTATTTTGGGCGAACATTTGATGTTTACACCAAACTCTGGAAGTTCCAGCAGCAGCACCGGTAAGGGAATGTTGTAGACAGATGCATTTTGTGGGTTTCAGTGCAACTTTAATCTCTGGTATGCCCAGTGGCCCAGCTAAGATTGAGATTTCACTGTGTTATTCAAGCATGAAGGGAGGGAGCAGCTACTTCCTGCAGTGCTCACAGTCTATTGAATTAAAATGTTGCCGAGTCTTCAGTGTGACTTTTTTTAACAAATCCTTTTGCTCTACCTGAGTGTGTGGTGCTTTAATTTCTTACTGAGGAGGTGGTGGATTCTGCAGAGCAGAATCTGGAATGGTGTGAAGTCTCTTGCTGCAGTGTGGGCTCTGATCCTTCACACCTTCCTCTGGCTGCATCCTCTGAGTGTTCTTCTGGGAAGTTGTGACCTTTTGTTGTGTGTATTTTGTGCAACACACTTATGTCTGGTTCTCCCCAGTTTGTGCAAGATGAACAGACCTTGTTGGGGGTGTGTGCTGTTGGCTCTGTGATGCTGCTGCTAATGAAAGCTGAATTTGGCCCTGCAATGTCTCTTTGTCTTGTCTGGAGGGAAAATTTGGGAATGCCTTTTAATCTTTTTTTTCTTTCTTGCAACATAGACAAGTACTGGACAATCGGTATGGGTTGAAGAGGTGGCAAATTGGGGAAATTGCTTCCAAGATTGGACAGCTCTATTACCATTATTAGTAAGTAAGCACAGAAGAGAATTCAGTGGGCAATACAGGGTTGGTGGCAGCTCCATGCCAAATGTTTGGGTGCTCAGCCAGGAGGAATGAGTGTTTGGGCTGAGTCATGATGCCTGTTTGTGAATGAGGGCCCTGGGGATGGCATGGGTGTTGCAGGGAAAGGGCCCTGTGAGTCTGGTACCACATTGCTGTCTCACTGGTATTGCCCAAGGACTTCACCCTGCCTCCAGAGTATCTTCCATGCGTGCTGCATTGGACTGTTGTGGAAAAGTGTGATTTACAAGTTTGGGAGCTTAATGTTCCTTTAAATTGTTCAGTGAACCCGTCACACGTGGGTGCAGGTTTGGCAGCTTTGATTGTTATCTGAAATGGGATCCAAACTCTGACATCTGGCTGCCCAGAATGACAGTCTGGCTTTCATTGAGGAGGAGGTTTTGCCATGGATGCACAGCATGGYTGAGGGGGCAGGAAGGGAGGGTTTGGCCTGGCTTTCCCTCTCAGGCASTGAGCTGATGCCATTGTTCCCCTGCAGCTTACGCACCTCTGAAACCAGCTATCTCAACGAGGCTTTCTCCTTCTACTCTGCAATCAGACAGAGGTCCTACTACTCCCAGGTCAACAAAGAAGACAGGTATGTCTGAATGGAGTGTTTTCAAGACTAGAAATGTATATGAAGCAGCAAAGAGCTGTAAACTGTAGGAGCATAACTGGGATAAGATCCATGTTGTTGAAGGAAGTTTCTTTTAATCCTCCTGCCATGATTGAAAAAATCAGGATAAATAAGAGCTTTGCTGTATAACTGGAAGAATATTCTGTTACCCGTCCTGGGTAGAAAGCCATCAGCCCCAAAGTTTTGTCATTTTGAATCCTGAGCAGTTCCAGTGCTGCAACCCAGAATGGCTGTGGCTGAAAGATGGAACAGTGGGGCTGAAACAGAAGAATTTAWTTAATTCTGCTCAGGCTTTTTGGAGGAACATCAGCTYRTACTGCRGTAGAGCAAGGTTTGAAGTGSCAGCCATGATCTGACTCCCATGCCYTTGTCATGCAGGGAGATGGTGGAGAAGGAGGAGGCTGTGGCTTTCCTAGATTATTTTTTATGTCCCTGTACTCAATTTTAACTGAACCTCCAAGCTRCCAGGTAGCTATTCATCACCACATGAGTTCAGTCAGAGCTCTTAATCTGCAAGTGTTCAGCCTTGCTCTGGTCTTAAASTCCTCCTGTCCCTTACCCCTGCCACCTACTTCTGTTCCATATTAATCTCAAATGTGGCTGTGGTGTTTTTGTTGTGTTTAGGCCCGAATTAGTGGTTAAGAAGCTGCGTTACTATGCAAGATTTATAGTGGTTTGTCTCCTGCTCAACAAAATGGATGTTGTRAAGGACCTTGTAAAGGTATGTTAAAATCAGGATAAAGGTGCTAAGGGGTAGGAGTTTGGTGATCCTTGCTGGTGATATCCAATGTAGTGAATTTTCCATGATTCAGACATTTATTAATGACATTTTAAGCTCAAATGATCTGGTAGCATTGTTTGAACAGCAAGTAGAAGTATTCCAATAGCTGCAGTGCAGACAGGGAGGTGCCCTGGAAGCTCAGCACAGGAACAGCAGGCTGCTCCCCACAGCATATGCTTCCCAGCCCCTCTGACAGCCTGGCTTCCAGCAGCTCCTGGGCTTGACAGCTTTGTGTAGGTTGCATTGCTGTCTGTGTCACAGCTCCCTTGAACTGCAGGCTTAGCTTAGCACAGCTAAACCAGCCTCACCGTCCCCTTTCTCGATGTATTTAAAGTTACTTGCAAGCTGAAATTTGAGTCCTTGGTATCCATAGCTTATGGTAATAACCACTGACATAGCTATATGTGAGTGGGATAGTTATACTTAACTCCAGATATTCTTTGCATTTGGACCTACGTAAAAGATGATTTGCATTGCCAGAACTCAGTGTAACGTTGGCATTCTGTCTGCTGAAAGAGCGCGTTTTGGCTGGCATGTTAGTCAGGAGTGTGCTGCATGTGTTCKCAAGGAATTGATTTATTTATTTATTATTCTTAAAGGCCAGCACAGCTAACCAAATGTAAGGTTACTGAATGCCTGCTGAAGTCTGGTTTTAGGAGTGACTGTGTCTGTCTCTGAACTGTTTACATCAGGAGCTGTCAGATGAAATTGAGGACTACACTCATCGTTTCAATACTGAAGATCAGGTGGAGTGGAAYCTGGTTCTTCAAGAAGTGGCAGCATTTATTGAGGTGAGAATTCCATTCCCTGTAGTTGTTTGTGTCAGAGTTTTCCATCTTGTTGATGGAAGTGTTCCTGTATCACCACATCTGTGAGGGAAGMAGGTGTGCCAGTGCAGGGATGGCATGCCTGTCCCATTAATCACTGACACATGTTCACAGGAGTGTTTAAATAWTGCCAGCATTATCATACACTCACCTTCTCTGCTATTCATTTCTACAAAGGGAAGGCAAACTAAAATAGGCAAAGTAAATTTATTCTGAATGTAGGAATATTTCATTTATTCTGCTTGAATTTGTAGGGTTGTTGATGACATTTGGCTCCTCAAGTACAGAGAAGCTGAAACAGAGTCCATGTCATTAGAGGCAGTGTGCTTTTCTCTGTGCATTCATGGGCTTGTACCATGTATTTCTTGCAGTCCCTAAGAACTTTGGTTTTCCAGGTGGGGTGGCATCACCCTGTAGCCTGCATACAAATATATAAATACACGTATGGCAAAGTAATTAAAAAACCTGCCTCAGTTATGAAATGTTTAAGTGCCAAGACTTGTGGACTTCTCTCTGACTGCAAATCTGTATGTTTTCCTGAATTCTTGATTTATTCTGATTGCTTTTTTTAGGCAGACCCTGTCATGGTTTTAAATGATGACAACACCATTGTAATCACCTCTAACAGGCTTTCTGAGACGGGAGCTCCGTTGTTGGAGCAGGGGATGATAGTGGGACAGCTTGCTCTTGCAGATGCGCTCATTATTGGGAACTGCAACAACCAGGTAAAGGAAATTCTGGGCACCTGGGTTTGTATCTTTGGAGTCCCCCCCCGTGGCATCCCTTCTGATCATACAACAGAGATTGCCACAGAGGAGAATGCTGAAATATTTTTATTGTGATGTTTGCATTGACAGCAAGAGGAAGAGGGTTATCAGAAACAGGAGCTACAAAGGAAATGTTAGATGTTAACCTGTGATACTGTCCTCTCATTGCTTATATTCATCATGTCAATTGAGTAGATAAAATTGATTTTCATATAGTGGATTGTTTGTGACAGCATTCAAGCATGAGAGGCTGTTAAGGCATGTCTAGAAAAAGCTTGACGTAAGCTTTSACGTGACATGCTCCAGCCTGGTGCAACTTCAATGGCAAACATGAAGAGGTTTTCAAAAGACATTTGAGGTCCTGATTTCTAGATGATAATGATAGTGAACTATACAAACTTCATGACTTCTCCCTGAGCTCTTTTCAGATAAGCAAGGGAGTTGTATCTAAACTACGTATTGTGCGTCTTTGTCAGATTTTGTCTGAATTCATAGTACATAGTCATTTCAGCACCTGATTTGCACACATCCCAGAGAAATCTGTAATTTGGAAATTGGGTTCTGCAATGCAGTGATTTGGCCTGGTAGATCAGTAACAAATAGACTTTCTCATCTGTGAGCTTTGGTAGAAGTCATCCACAACTCTTTAGAGATTCAAAGATGACACTGACAGATCCCTGAGAGAGAATGGTTTCTCTGATGTGCAGTGGAGTCTCGTAGCTGAGTAATTACAAACAAATACTGCTTAATGTGTATCTGGTGGAATAAACTGTTTGTCTCTCTTGCAGGTCAAGTTCAGTGAATTAACMATTGACATGTTCCGAATGCTGCAAGCCCTGGAGAGGGAACCCATGAACTTGGCATCACAAATGAACAAGCCTGGAATGCAGGTGAGTTCCACTTCAGGAAGAAAACTGGCAATGGATGTTAACTGGGTTTTTTGTTTGACTGATGGGTTTTAAATAGTTTACTCCTTCAGTATTGTCAGTGTGCAGAGCAGGTTAGTAAAGGTGGTGTAATTGTAATTCTTAATAGAAATTAGTGAAGARTAGCTCAAATCCATGAACTCATCAAATTACTAAATCATCTGAAAGTTAATGTCCCCTTCAGAGAAAGCATAAAGTGTTTTATCTGGGGTCAAAAGAAAAGATGAAGATTGAAAATTTGTTTAATTGACATGAGGTGTGATTTTTGTCARTCATTTCTTGGGTGATACTTTAGARAGYAAGAAAGACTTAGCTAACAAGTTTCAGTAAGGGATAATATAAAGTTCTGGTTTAAATACTGTGCATCTTGCTTTAGTGTATAGTARGAAATGCAGAGTGGGTTGACCATTTGTGTGGGAAGTGTGTTGGAGATGAACATTCTAATAAATAGAAGTTTAGAGGATTGTGAAACTGCTTTGATAATATCTGGTTGTTCAGGGTTTTTGAGTAGTGTTTTGTTTCTTTTAACAGGAGTCAACAGAGAAACCAGCCAGGCGGGAAAACCCCCATAAATACCTACTTTATAAACCAACTTTTAGCCAGCTATACACATTTTTAGCAGCATCATTTAAGGTTTGTGAAATTGSTGAATTTATTTGTAATGAAAAGAAAAACAGGGCTGTGTGTGAGAATGAATGAAATGTGGCTCTCCACTGATCTGGAGMACAGAAAAATCTCAAGAGTATTCTTTCATTTCATTTCAAGCCAAGCACAATCCAAAATCAGGGAAGTACATCAGGAAGTRGTTGCTCTAGAGCACTGTATAACTGCTGAATCTCCAGTCCTGTATCCCATTCAAACTGCAAACAAAGCCTCCTYTGTGAATTGTTTGGGAGTTGGGGTCTGCATGGATCTTGGCAGCTTTTGGGTTCCATATTTTGCAAAGCCTCAGAGCTGGACAGAAAGTAAAAGAGTCTGTGTGGAAGCAGATGGTTTCTCAGTGCTGCTTGGAGCTCTGATATCAGCCTAGATGTTTGTGTGGAGAAAAGTTAGAGACATTCCATCAGGTGCCTTTTTGTCTGTTGGGTGTATGAGATGGGGCAGGGCAAAGACAGGTACAGAGAGCAGAGTGGAGGGGAGCCAGAAACAGGAGTAGCACAATTACAATGACAATGTGTTTGTGAAGGTGATGATTCAATATTAAAATAAACTTGTGCCTTTCTTCCCTTGCCACTGCTCTCGTTTGCACTTCAGGAGCTGCCTGCAAACAGTGTGCTGCTGATTTACCTGTCTGCCACGGGCGTGTTTCCATCAGGTCGTTCGGATAGTGAAGGTACAATAAAGGAATGCTCCCTGTCATGAACAGGGCTTGAATTCTCCTTATGTTCCAGGACAAGTGACCGAGAAAGATGTCACAAAGCTCCTTTTAAAAGACAAGTCAATTCGATTCTCCTGCCTATTTAGTAAGATAGCCTTTATTTTTCCACAGACAATAATTAAATCTTTGTGTTTTAATTAGTGTGCATTAACCCGAGAACTTTTTTAAGGGCACATCCAGTTTTTGATGCATCTGAAGTATTAAAAACCTTCTAATTTTGAAGACCATGTGGCTCAGTTGATGCATCAGTGCAAAGTTCATAAAATGGCTCAGTGGCACTCTGTGATTCTTTCCAATCCCCAGCACCAGGAGAACGTGTGGCCAGGAGATGGGTGGTGAAAGGACTCAAGCAGCTGCAGGGACTGGTCTATTTGCACGCTCATTAACCTGACAATTCAAGCCCTTCTCATGATTTTTGACAATTCCCCTCACCTCACCCTCCTGTTCTTTGCAATCTAGCAGAATATTTGGATGCAGCTGCAWTGTAAAAGCTGAAAACTGGTTGGCTGAAGTAAACATGGTCCAAAGATCTGTTTATGTAATTCAAGAAAAAAATCAAAATAACTTTTTAACATCCTAAATATTGTAAAAACCTCATCTGTTTGAGACTTGCATTCCTTTATAAGATGCATGCTTTGTCTTCCCCAGTGCATGATTTATAGAGCTCTCAAAATGTTAAAAGAAAAGAAATCCCTGTCAGCTTTGGATGGTGGCAGTGATTTTTTTAAATGCTTTTAACATTTTACTTCTTGCTGCATCTTGGTGGTAGGTCCTAACTGAAGTGTGTTCTCTGAAGCCTGTGGTTTGTCCCCCTCTCTGCATGTGTTGTTTCAGCTTAAGATCTTGTGGCAGAGGCATCCAGGCTCAGTCACCTGAAGAGCTGAAAGTGCAGCTTTCATTCAATGAACCCATCACAACTGCATTCTTTTAATAAGGTGCTGTGCTCTGCACACACTTGKGCCTTATTAAAARGGAGAGCAGCTGCAARTTGCACTGTCCATCGCCTGCAAGCMGTGTGTGAGGTSTTTGTAACAGTGCTCAATTAATGTTTGTTCTGTTCCTGATTTTGTATCCCCAAAGCTTCCCTTAAATGGAAAGGCGCCCTGTATCCAAACCTGAAAAAATTGCATTTGGTGGCCAAATATGGGTCAGCCAAGTCTGCAAATGTATGACAGAATGAGGAAACCCTAGTAGTTTATWTTACTAATGTTAGTGACATTTCATACCCATACCAATGGCAAAAATATTTCTTGATATATTGTAGGATTTGATATTTTTTATAGCCATTGCTTTCATCTTTGCTCTCCATCAGATKTTCAGGGGGTAGCTCAGTTTTACAAATTTAGCAGAATATTCATCTTATTGTGGAAACACRTGTCTAGGGTGTATGCATGTGAAAATTGTGAATTATGACTTTGAAATCTTAAAATACAAACCTTTGCTATAGTATTGAAATCTAGTTAAAACTGTTTTGTCCTTGGTCATTCTCTGAGCTCTTTTTTCTCCCCTTTGCAGTGTTAGAACTGCAAATATTAGTARTATTTCTAGTCTTTTTGATTCATTTAGCCTTATTTTTTGATCAAATTCTGAATCTGGAATRTGCAAACTCACACAGTAATTTTACAAAGGTATTGATTTTCCTGTATCAGATATGTAATGGGCTTTTATCTTCTTTTCTGTAGTGTAACAAGAGCCAGTATTTGGATTTKCTGCCTTATGTTTGTGGATAAATAGTGAATAATTAAATTAGAAGTTACTAAGTTGCATTCCTTGTTTCTATTTGATAGATGCTGAAATTGCTAAAAAAGCATTAAAGGAATATGCAGTTAGTGAAGTGTCCACATTCCTCTTTCCCTCCCTTACAACTGCAGTAGTTCAGATTCCCTTTGGTTTCTGGGATTTGTTGTTGCTTCCTCCCTTTCCTGTAATCACTAAATGTCTAACAGAGGTGAGTTGCCCCTGCTGATTTTATCTTCCTTTTTCCACGTGAAGGTCCGTACGATTTTGGGGGTGTTCTGACAAACAGTAACCGGGACATTATCAACGGGGACGCCATCCACAAGCGGAACCAGTCCTACAAGGAGATGCACTGGTGAGTGTCGTGCTGTCACACCTGCAAAGTCACAGCAGTTTGTGTTTAATAGAGAAAAATGCCTCAACACCTCTGGAATTCAACCTCCTCTGTACAGGACATCATAATGGAGATTGGCTTGAGCACTTAGAAATGAATATGCTGCTTTAAATGATTATTTAAACTCTTCAGCTTTACTTATGTGAGTTAACAAAAGTTCTTAATTACTGGCAAACTTCACRTTAGTGATGGATGACTTCTCAAGAAGTTAAACATCTACCAAACTAATGAAGTCCCACAGCCCATATCATAAATACCAAATTAGTTGTGCAGTTACTCTCTGAGGTTGAATCTGGGGGCTGGGGCGTGGGGAATCTGTCTGCTGTTTATCAGCTGTGTGTGTGTGCAGTGTCAGAGCTGTGCAGCAGTTCTGATGCTCTGGAGTGTCCCTTTCTCTTTGCAGCCTTCACCCTGGAGATCTGTACCCTTTCACCAGAAAGCCCCTGTTCATCATCGTGGACTCTTCCAACAGCGTCGCCTACAAGGTAAGGCCCAGGGAGGCAGCTCCTCATGTGGTAGGATACAGTGCCAACCCCTAGTTAGCTCWCACTTTTAACAGGCTATTTTTTTAAACAGTTTGTATTCAGTCTTTCTTTTCTTTTGAGGTTGTGCATGCTAGTCAGGATCTGACCCTATGAATAGGAACAAGAAGGAGAAGCACATGAACAGCCGCTCATTGGAAAGTAATAAATCCTCCTGGAGGGAAAAAAGGTTCAAGATTTCCAAGGTCTCTGGTGGGAGGTTTATTTTTGTTTTATACCAAAAACAAATCTCGGTGTATRTGCATGGGGGAGGGAGATAACTAATGTGCTTTTCTTTTTTCCAGTCATCCAACATTCAGTTGCTTTTAAGCAACAGAAAGGAGTCAAAGCATTGAGCCTGAGCTTATAAAACACGGGKTGTCTGTGTCTGAAAAGTGTCTGAACCAAGGAAGTAACAAGCCTCAAATTAGCATCCARTGTTACTGTAGAGTGGTGTTTGCTTGGACACTGAGCCTCCTTCCTAGGGTGCTCTGGACTTACAGTAGAATTGCTCCATGCCAAATCACCTCTGGGAATCTGCAAGTCGGGTAATACAGCAGCAGGCATTGCACTTGTCATGGCCAGTTGAATCTGGAGAGCATTACACATTTATTTCATTCATGAATGGGGTAATAAGAATGTGCTATATCTGGGGAAAGTGCCACTTCTTCCGTGTTCCTTTTTATAGCTCCTTTGTGTGCAGTCAGGGAAGGGAACATCCACAGCTGCATTTTGGAGGAGGAACAGGGACGTCTAGTGGCCAGAGGAACTTGTGCCTTGTTCAGTGTGCTGTGCCGTTGGTTTTAAAGCTGTGTGTTGGCCAAGGAGAGGTACTAAACCAGTGGTCAGTGTGATTCAGGATTGTTCTGTACTGAGCCAAGGAACTCCTGCCCAACAGTCAGATAATGATCTGGCCTCTCTGTTGGGTCTTTGGTTTGYTGTAGTGTAATGTGTCTCAGAGGACTTTTTAAACACTGCTTTATTTAAGTTCATCACACTGGGTTTTCAGAGCAAATCTGCTTTTTCTTGAATTCCCTTCTCCATTTAAATGGAGTTATTTACTTGTCTTTCTGAGAAAGTGAGCATTTGGAAGGGGTTTATTTCCCTCTGCTTTTTCCTGACATTCATTCCAGTATAATATCAGGGGGATTTGTTTTGTCTCAGGGAAAAAGGTATGGCTTGTGTTTGGTTTTTGGTTTGGTTTTGGTTTTTTTTACCTCCTTCCTCTCTAATAGAACTGTTAAAAGACATCAAGTGGATCAGCTATGTAAGAGAGTAAGCAATTCCAGCTCTGGACAGGCTGGGGTTCTGTGGGCAGCCTGCAGCAAAGGACCTGTTTGGAGCAATGGATTTCCACATGTAGATTTGTAGGTCTTGTAAGAATAACTGTCAAGTTTTTACAGTAGAATTCTCTTTTTGTATTACATTTTAATTGGATCATTAACTTTCCTTTAGCTTTTGTGGGCACACAGTAAGCAGCTCTATAACCTCCACTGAATTTCTTTTCCTTGTTCTGCAGTGAGCTGACAGTGGTGTAAAACCCACCAGTCTGTCCAGCACAGCTGGTGGAGAGCATCCAGCTCTGCCTGTGTGGAAGGAGCACAGAAATGGGAGCTTTGGAAGTATTTCAGGACAGGATTCTAGAAGTGGCTGCTAGGAGCACTGACCCAGATCAGAACAGTGTGGGCACAACTGTGAGGAACTTAAGAAGTATGTTCAGCACTTCAGAAGTGATATTCACCTTCTCCATCTCTTGCCACTGAACACAGGCAGAYGTGTAGGGATGGGTTTAGGGTCTCAGTTTCTTTTCCACTGTAGTAGGTACATGCTGGAGCTCTCCAGATTGGTGTTTTCCAGCCCCTGTACACTCCTGCCTGTTGTGTGCTGGCTCCTTGTCCCCAGAATGCCCTGGCAGGGCTGTCCTGTCCCTGTCCCGGGTGGGCTGGGAGGTGTCTGGAGSCTCAAGCACTGCCATGAACAAAGAGGCTCTGTGAGACTGTGTGAGGAATTACAGTCAGTGCTGACTCTTTTCCACATGGCTGCTCTGATCTCTCCTGATAGGACAGGAGCTATTCTGACATTTAAATGTCACTGCCAGCACTACCGGCAGGAACAGCAACTGCTCACACATCTTTTTCTGCAGCCCGTTCCTGCTCTCCTGCACGCATCCCCGTCCTCTCCCTCTCTCTGGAGGGCTTAAATGGTGATGACTGAAAGTAAGTCCTGCCAGGAAGTGACTTGCCAGTTTGTCAAATCAGCAGCACTTGAACAGCTTCCTCCCTTGTATATTTAGCTGAAAGTGGAAGATAACTGCAAATCGAGCAYATCTACCGAAAGCCGTGATTTTTTTTTTTTAACACTTCCATTTAAATATAGATGGCTGTGTGTTCTTGAAGGTTACCACTGCATATGTGGATGAAATAATATTTTTAAATCAATATCTTCCTGTAGCTTTGGTTGTCTAGGATCATGGATCATGGTCAAATGTAATATTTTGAAGCCAAACCAAACCAAAACCTCCAGCCAGTGAGAATGCAAGGCCTTTGTCAGTGATGTGGTATAAATACCTAGCTTAGCAAAGCTTACATGTGAAGTGATTTCTTTTGGAGATGATGGGTAGTTCTTTGGAAAGAGATGTACATGACATGCATTGTAAAAAGTAGCAATACTTCTGGAAAACTTGAACACTGAAATAAAAAAACACTTGAAATCTGAAACAAAATAGGGTTCATCCTTTTTGGAGTTGTCCATGCACTGAAGTGTAGAGCATTCCTTATCCAGAGCTGCTGCCAACATCTGGACTGCAGGGCAGGTTTTCCTGGCTTAACCTCTGCTGGGACAGAGTCCAGAGTGCTCTCAGACAGTTCTTGAGACCTCCAAGTGACCCAGGGGTGCTCTTGGATTGCAGGGCTGTTCTCACTGGTGGCACGTCTGCTTTGGTCTGTAACTGAGTGACACAAGATAGAATTAATTAAACATGTCAATCTGCTCATGAGTACTGAGCATACGAGTTACTGAGAAGGTGAAAGCTGCCAGTGTGTGTTCAGTTCAAACCAGCAGGGCCTGGGGTGACTCCTGCAGTTTAAAAGGTTTCTTTCACCAATTCCTGTAGTTACTGTCTGCAAGGGAGTTGTCTTTGTTTCTTCCTTAGAGACCAAACCTTAGTATGCAGCATTATCAATCTTCCCTGGGCTTCTAATGAACTTGAAGGGTTTTTAGYACTACTCAGCACTCTGTCAGAGATGGGAAATGTTTTATTTTGATTAGACTAGATTTCTGTCGCTAGTATTTAGCAGATTTAGATCAAATTAATTCTGTAAAACTAATTTAATTGAAATATACTGCCTGGGAGGAAGAATTCATTTGAATTACACAGAGGCCAAAAGGAATTAAAACAATAATTGTTTGAGGATTCTACACAAGCAAATACTTCTGGTGTTGTATGTCTTACAGTTGTAAACTGCAGTTTTATGAATGGAATCTGCAGATGTGTGTGTGGCACTCATGTGCTCTGGGGGTGTGGTTTGAGTTTGAGAGCATGCAGACACATCACTGGAATTTTCTRTAGCTTTGCAAGCCTTCAGTTTTAAGCTGTTCTGGTGACTGCTAATGAGGTTGTGTACGTGATTTTTGGCTTTTTTTCCCTTGGTGATAATTGTTTACCACTAGACAGATACACAGCATTACTGTTATCAGGTAAATGYTGGTGAAACTGGACAAGGGTGGTGTTTCAGGTTTTGGAGAATTCTTGTGCTACAGGTCACTTTGGCAATATTTAAGRTGCTGATGGAAGGGACATGAAATGAGTGCTGTTAATGAGGGTTCAGTACAGTTTAACATTGGGATACTTATAATACTTACTTCAAAGGAAACTTACTTTAAAACTTTTATCCTCTGGGCCCTTCTATTTCATCAGACAGCTCCTCCTGCTAGAAAGAAAAGGGGAAAGAAATGGTTTTGACTGGGCAGTTCAATTGGTTTTGAGGGAAGATGCTAAATCCAGTGGCTTTCACTTTTGCTGCAGAACATGATTTTTTGTTCAAGTAATGTGTTACTGCTGAAAGCCATATTTCCATTAAACTAGTGTCTGCCATCAGTAAGAGAGCTATAATTCCTTTAAAATATAGCTGGTTATACTCCTTCTGTGATCTCTGAATAAGTGAAYTTGTCAGGCTCATTGCCAGTGCTGAGCTGTGTGAGGGGCATTAGTGTCTTCTGTCATTAATATGATTTGTACCCTTGACTTGCTGAATATTCAAGGCAAGCAAAGTGACCATCAATACTTCAAAATTCTTATCTGTTGCAGAATTTCACAAACTTATTTGGACAACCATTGGTGTGCTTGCTTTCTCCAACAGCATATCCAAAAGCATTGCAAGGTATGTGCAGTGTTGCATTTCCCAATGAGCTGCAGTTGCCTCATGTATCAATCCYAAACAGATTCCTCAGCAAAGAGGAGAACCCCTCACTGCTGCAGAACCCCTAAATCAGGTTAACACTCCCTGAAGTAGTTCAGCTAATGTTTGTGGTAAATAATTTGTTCCAACACCAATGATACTTCCAGAGATGGCTCCAACAGGTGCCAGGAGCAAGGGCTGTCCTACCTGGAGACTGAGGGAATGGCCAGCCCAGCACGGGGTGATGCTGTTATTACAGCTCTGGGCAACTCTGTGCTCCCAGAAAGGGAACTGAGGTGTCCTGGTGTTAATGCACATCTCCAGCAAGCCTTTATTGCTGCTCTTTGATCAGGTCTGCAGGAGAGAAGGTGTAACTAACACACARGAGTAGCTCCTCTGTGACAGAATTTAGCGGGTGAGCGACCTCATTCTGTGGCAGGGACAGCRTTTCTGTTTCATGTGCCAAATGTATCCCTTTGTCTATTGATTTATTTTTCCTTTTAGATCAGTCTCAGCGGGGTAGCCTCTTCACGCTCTTTCTGAACAATCCGTTAATGGCATTCCTGTTTGTCTCTGGATTATCAAGCATGCGCCGAGGATTGTGGGAGAAGTGTCAGGATTACCTCAGAAAAATCAACCGGGACATTGCCCAGCTGCTGACCCACTCCAGATCCATAGGTACGGCCTGCCCAGGCTCAGCTGAGCTTTTCAGGGGGTTTTAAGCTTTCTAAACAGACCTTTCTTTGTCTTCTGAACAGATCAGTCATTCCTTCAGTTTTTTGGGGATGAATTTCTTCGCTTGCTTCTCACGAGATTTATCTTCTGTTCGGCTACAATGAGGATGCACAAGATCTTCCGGGTATGGAGGGATGTCTGAGCCTTCATGGGAATGCCAGGCCGGGGTCTGTAGAGCTGCCCTGGCTTGGGTGGGAAGGTGCAAGGGCTGAGCAGATCTCTGTGATCTCAGGAAGATGGGGTCTGTAGAGCTGCCCTTGGGTGGGAGGGTGGAAGGGCTGAGCAGATCTCTGTGATCTCAGGAAGATGGGGTCTGTAGAGCTGCCCTGGCTTGGGTGGGAGGGTGCAGGGGCTGAGCAGATATCTGATCTCAGGAAGGTGGCTGATGCTCAAGTGCTGTTCTGCAGCTTGCACTGAGGCTGTACCTGTGTGAATCCAAAGGCACAAAGCCTTTGATTTGCAGGAGCCTCAGTCCTGCATGTAACACAGCAGGAACTCTCCAGTTCATGTGTCGCTCTGCACAGCCCTGTCTGCTACAAAAATTCCTCTTAAYAACTTCAAATTATTATTTCTACACAAACAGAAAGGTGTAGAACAAGAATGTAAGAGGAAGTGAGGGGCAGTGGGTCATTATTTCTGGAATGGGTTCACTTGAATGGGTTTTGAAAGGTCTTTGAAGTGCAAACAAATGAGCCAAATGGGAAGATGGTATTTTCCCTTCCTGTTGGTTAAAGCTGTGCCAACAGTGAAGTCTGCTTCTGAATCGACACCATTTTATGCAAGTGTTGGCATATAAACTGCCTGCTCCATTTTAAGCACTGCAGGAAAAAATGGGAGTGGAGCACAGACAGGTGCAGTATTCASTTGTGGAACTGCAGACATCCAGCAGCTCACCAAGCCTAAGTCAGTGATCTGGGCTGCTCTGGTACCAGGAAAAAGAAGTAGGGCTGGATTAGTGGGGAGAGATTTGCCCCCAGTGTCTTAGGTATTTGTTTTAGGCTAAGATTAATCTCCCACTGGAGATGCTTRCACGTCTCTAATTTCAAGAAATGAACTCCAGCCTAGTAGGTAAGTACAGGTGAAGTCTGTTTGTCTTTTTTTAGTGTTTCTTTTTTATTTTTTTCTTCAAAACCTCAGTGAACATACCAATAACTACCTCAGATGAACAGGCATTTGTATTGCCACTTTGACCATCTCTGAGTCAATGGAAAGAGAATATTGAAAGTTCTAGAATATGTTCTCTTCCTGTGCCATACTGAACAGACTAGGGTGAAATTGGCCTTTTGCAATCTTCTTCCTGGAGGGTGTGAAGTAAATCAGTGTCTGATTCTCTTTATTTTCACTGTCATCTAGCAGGAGACTCGAAATTATCCTGAATCTTATCCTCAGCTGCCAAGAGATGAAACGGTGGAGAACCCTCACCTCCAAAAACACATTTTGGAGCTGGCTTCCATACTGGATGTTAGGAATGTTTTCCTGGAAAACACACTCGATGACTATTGAAAGAAACTGTCTTACTGCAAAGGGGATTCCCTGGCCACAGATTTTGAATGGTGCAGTTTTATAATGTGAAAATCATAAAAGGAAGTACTTGATTTTATTTTTAAATGTAGGACCATTATTTTAAAAAGTAATAATAAACAGCTGTTAGTTGAGCTGTTCCATTCTGTATGGRGTCAATTTTATAAGCAGAAGTTTTCATGTCTTTTAAATGTTAAACTAAAGAATCACTAGAGGTTTATTTCTGGTCTTGTGGCTGTCAACCACATTTCCAACAGCTGATCCTAAGCATAGAAGCATTATTGGTTACCTTTAGCCCACATTTGTGGAAATCCTTTATTTTTATACAATTTTAAGAAATTGGAAAGAAAAAAAAATCAACAGAAAGACCARTATTTTATCCCCAAAGAGTTTGGATTTGAAATGGTAAAGATGGAACTACACAGTGCAAACCAACAATAGCAATAACACAGATTCCTTCATAACAAATATATTTTTTCAATCTTAGGCAAGTGAGGAGACAAAACTGTGGACAATTAAGTTGCATTTGGAGCAGTGCTTTRAAGTGAATTTGTAAAGGTACTTAATGCTCCCTATAAGTTTGACACAGCAGTTTTCTGTGTGACCTCTGCACTGCTGGCCAAGGACCTGGTTGGGCAGGTGGTCAATAGGTGAACAAATTGCAAACCTGAAAGTTGGCCCCACCTCTCATGTCCTGTGGGGCATCCTGCTGTTGGTGCTGCTGCTGCAGGAGGAGGGGGCATTCTTCAGTCTGAGGTACTTTAGAAATTCCAGCATTTCCAGCAGGTGTCATCCCTYCTTTCCGTGTGTGGATGGAATGTGTGGCTCCCACAGCATGGCCACTCCCTGCCAGGAGCTGAGAGGAATCCTGTMCAGTGCTGTTTGAGCCCCTCCTGTCACTGTGTGTCACAGCCCTGTGCCCTGGGAGAGGTGCTGATGTTCCCCTTGCAGGTGAAACCAAGAGGGAGCTGCCCTAACCCCCTGGATGTTTTGCATGTCCCCCCTGGAGCCAGGAGCAGCGAGGGGCTGTGATGGCAGCACCCTTGGCTCCCCAGCCAAAAGCTCAGTGTGGGTGTCTGCAGCAGGACAGGGCCTTTGGGAAGGGGCTGCCTGGAGAAGGCTGTTCTGGCTGCTGGGAGGCTCCTTTGGCACTGCACTGCCTGCCCTGCAGAGCTACAGGGTGAGCAAGAACGAGGGAATGGAGAGACTTGAAACTATTAAATGAAAAGTCAGTCGTCACTGTTCCATGGGCTGCTAGTAAAGAYGTGAAAGGACAAGTCTGATGAATGCTTTTGGTTGAATCCCAGSCATACCTCTTTGCTTAGGTGAAAACAGTGCAGAACTTGGTGACTGCACTTGATGTGACAGTGCAGGATGTGCTTTGGTCAGCCAGAACAGCACTGGTGGATCTGTTCCAGTGAGGGAGGACAGTGTGGAACAGCAGGAATGGCTGCAGTGGAGCTGGGGACTTTGCATGAAGGTTCTTTGTAGCTGGGCTGAAGCTTGCACCATCCATTCTTTATTTCCCAAGTGTACAAAATCCTGTGAATGCTCGTGTTTGTCCTAAGCAGTCTTGAAGCTGGTACATTGAAACTCCCCTTGGTGCTGCTCTTTGGACTCTGGCAGGACTTCATTTCCCGGGCTGTGCAGTCTGTTGTGATGAGTGTGTGTTCACGTGTGTGCATGTGTGTGCTCGGCGTTTGTGTGTGTATGTACAGCACACATACATCTACTGGCTGGTGTAAATTGTAAATATGTATATATGTATAGGTACTTGTATATGTATTAAAAAGAATGAACCACTACAATGTCTATATACAAAATTTATATATACACACATACGCCATGTTGGGTGGAATCCACAAGGTGCTGCAGATCAKTTGTGGTTGTAGTAAAGGTTATGGCTCTTCTGCCACTGTAATTTGCTGTTTCCAGGGACTTACCCTTGGACCTTGAAGTAATTAATAACTGATTCCAGGTACAGGAGTCCTTAATTAGCCAGGGGAATGGGTATTCCTGTATGTATTACAGTGATAAGATCCATGTATTTACTATGAAGCTGATCCCTGTTTTTCTGCCTGCTARGAGGTCCCCAGTTTCTAAAATGTGGGATTGTATGTGGAGGCTAAAGATGCAGGAGACCTTTAATGCAGCAGTGAGAGGCAKATTTTCTGTTGCCCTGCCTGCTTTCCTCCACCAGCAGTGATCAGCTTGCATGGAAAAAGGGAATTGAGTTTTCCTCAGCTCACTGCCTTCCAACCAAATGCTTTTGCTTTGCTTTAGCTTTTGCTTTGATGCAGCTATTCTCATTTTGGTTCCATCTCTGTGGAAAAGAGTATGCTGTTTCCAAGCATAGGAGTAATGATGATGATGGTGATGATGATGATGATAATTCCACTCGTGTTGGGCTGGTGAACCTCTGGGACATGGCTTGTGAACTGACTGGTAAAGCCTTGGTGGTTCTCAYCTTCATTTAGCCAGGCTGAAGCCAGGAGTCCTTGCTTGTCACCTGAGAGGCTTCTRCCTGTTGTGGCCCTTTGAGGAGGTCCTGTTTGCTTTTTGCCAAGGTAGATCTCATCAGAGAAGAATGCACTTTTAAAAAACAAAACAAAAAGCCCTGAAGAAGCTGGAATGTAGGAGGAGAATATGGGCCTTGAAAATGAGTTCAGAAGTTGAACTAAATAGCAATGACTGTACAAGTAAAAAAWTCATTCTTGAGGTTCCTAATTCTCTTACCTGCTGACCTTTGTTAGAAGGTCCAATGCTGGGACATTCAAAGATTTCACTCGAGTTGGGAGGAGTATGGAATTGTACTGTGGAAGCATACCCTCTGTCTGCTCTARCTGTAGCGAGGATGAGTGTCTGGTCTTGGATTTTGAGCCAGCCCCTCCCTTCCACCCAAAGAACTGCATTCAAGCTGAAACTGTTGATATTTTCCCCTCCAAGTAAAAGCTTGTCTTGTTTGAACTAAGTCATTCTAAACTTGTGCTACTGTGTGCTCTGTGCTATGGTCGTAGGTACCTCTCAGTGTATGCTTGTGTGTACTGAAGAAAATCTGGTTTATGTATCTCACAGTCCTCAGTGTGAAAGCAAAGACTGAACCATTTTTAAGGGAGAAGAGAACAAATCCTTTTCTTCTCAGGCCTGATGCCTTCCCTCTTGTCTCACTATCTCTTTCTCCATGTATCTTTATTGCTTATATTAGCTGAGAAGACTTGCCAGCACCAGGCAATGCCAAATTAAAGGGGTAAATTCTGCATGTAATACATTGAGAGGACAAGGTGAACTGTGTCCTTAGAGGACCACTCCTGCCTGGCTCCCTACTCCCTGCATGTGGTGTGCTCAGATGAATCCTGCTCCCACAGTAGGTTTGTGCTCCTGCTCAAACTGGCTTTGGAACACCTTGCCAAAGTTACTGCTGTTGCCTTTTTTTCCCCTTTGACTTCTCAAAATAACAGTGATGGGGAATGCAGGGTTACTCTTTAATGCTCTGTTTTTTAATTCCTCTTGGGATGTGATGTGTCATTTTGCTTCGTGCACCAGCTAAATGGAGCACTAACTTCCATGAGCTGTGCTTGAGCAACAAGACTTGCTCCCTGGAGTGCTTTCTTGAGAAGTTTCAGGAGCTTTCTTGGAGTAGTGCATCAAAATAATGTCTGTCAAGATATGACTGACTAAACCCCTCAAGACTGTTCCCCAGGGAGATGTGCAGAGATCTTTAAAGGGTCATAGGAAATAGATGAGGGCAGCAGGAAATTTGGCTTCAATTAATCATCTTCAAAAACTACAGTTTGAGTAGCTCTGGTCAGGCTTCTCCCCTGAGGATGGGATGGAAGTGCTGTTCCATAGCCCATTCCTGAATTAGGAAGCACCTCCCCTGCCCCACCTCCCATGTCCTTGTAACCATGCTGTGCTGCAAGTCTGCTCCTTCCCAAAAGCTAAAAATCTTGGGATCTGTCTGAACAACTGTTTTGTCTTGAGGTTTCTCTTGTAAAAGCTTTCTTTTACCTGTGTTTGGTTCCTCAGTAAATGCGAGTGCAGCTCAGTGAGTGCCCTGCTCAGTCCTGGTGGTGTTTGGGGCTGATCTGTGGTGGCTGTGGCTGCTCCTGGGGCTAAGGAAGYTCTGCACGCAGCAACAGTTGTATGAACAAGGGAAAAAATCTAATCAGAGAGCTGAAAACTGTTCTGTGCACCTTGTAAGGTCAGACTGGGCACAGCGGCCAGGGCAAAGCTCTCGAGAGCAGATTATAACCCGAAGGGCTGATTTACATTTGTAACATTGGACTTTTAGAGCAATACTGTTCTGTGATCAAATGTGTTCAAGTGCTTTGAAGATCTGGGTGTCCACTGTTAGAGCAGAGGACACACATAACTGCTTTAGATTTAGGAGTGACAGCCACTTTTTGTTYTGCCATCTAAACCATTACTATGCCAAGACTGAGGAGAGTTAGTTCAAGATTTCTGAATCCGACAGATCTTTTTGGGATTAAGGGCTGTCTCTGAATTCTGCCCAGATGCATGCATAGGTGTTTTGTTGCTGGTTTCATTCCCATTGGGAGCAGACCCCAGCACAGCTCGCTGGTCTGCAGCAACCCCAGAGCAGAGCAGATCTCACCAGCCCCATSCCAGCAGCTTCTCCTTCCAGAATAAACCCTGCTGGGAGGATCTGTCCCCTTGACTTCACAGACCGCTTTTGGCCCGTGTTTATTGTCATTCYACCAGTGAACTGGTTTGTTGGGAGCAGGATTCTGCCTCATGCAGGCTGAAAAGCACAAGTTGCTTCTGCCCTGGGCAAGGCCCAGCAAGAAGGACATGGGGAGCACAGGTTGGGAGCGTTTGGGAGCGTTCTGGAAATGCAGAGGGACCGTGCCTCGGGCAGCCCAGCTGCACAGGTACGGGGAACGTTTTGCCTCTCCGAGAATCAAATTATTTATTACCAAAAGTAATTTTATAGTGAATTGGTTTAAAGTTATTTTACAGCTGTGTGCCTGTATATCGTATTTTGGTAAAAACGGATATTTTCCTTAAAATATATAGAGATATATAAACTTTTTTTGGAGCAAATGGACTTTTTTGCAAGGGATCTGTAATCGCCAAAGCCGTGTGATGCCAGAAGCGACTCCGCCGTTGTTTTGGGTGTCTGCGGAGGGAAGAAGCGTTTGTGTTRCTGCTGGACACTGCGGAGAGAAGCAAACGCCGCGATGGAACTGGGCCCTGCCGTTCGTCCCCGCCGCAGGGACACGGTAACACAGACCGAGCGCCAGCCCCGCGTCCTGCTCGTCACCGCCCTTCCAGCCTTTCCAGAGACTTTGGAGCAGATTTCCGTTCGCTTTTGTCCGCGCCGCGCCGGGGCCGCTCCCGCCCGGTGCTGGCGGTTGTGCCGTGTCCGAGCTGTTCGCTGTCCCTGTTCCGGCCAGCGCCGCCCCGGCCCCGCCGGCGGACTGTGCTGTCAATAAACTGTGGTAAACGCTCGTAGCGAGGCGCCTGCTCCGCTCCGGGGAGAGACAGCGGGACCGGGGGGGAACGGGGCCGGGGGAAGGCGGGACTGAGAGAGGAACGGGGCCGGGGGCGGAGCGGGACTGGGGGAGGAACGGGACCGGGACTGAGGGAAGGCGGGACTGAGGGAGGAGGGGGACCAGGGGAAGGAGGGACTGAGGGAAGGCGGCACTGAGGGCGGAGCGGGACCGGGACTGAGGGCGGGCTCAGGGAAGGTGGGACTGAGGGCGGAGCGGGGCCGGGGGAAGGCAGGGCCGGGGGCGGAGCGGAACCGGGTCTGAGGGAGGAGCGGGGCCGGGGGAAGGAGGGACTGAGGGAAGGCGGGACCGGGGGCGGAGCGGGACCGGGTCTGAGGGCGGAGCGGGGCCGGGACTGAGGGCGGAGCGGAACCGGGACCGGGGGCGGAGCGGGACCGGGGGAAGGCGGGACTGAGGGTGGACCGGGCCTGAGGGCGGAGCGGAACCGGCGCCGCTTCCGCCCCGCGCGGCGCTTCCGGGTCGGCGGTGCCCGGGGAAGCGGCGGCTGCTGCGGAACCGGCGAGACTCGGCCGGGCATGGGCGGTGAGGAGGGAGCGGTAGTGGGGCCGGGAGAGCCGGGGGCGGCCGGGCCGGGCCGGGGCAGCGGCGGTGACGGGCCCTTGGGGCAGAGCGGGCCGGACCGGGCCGGGCCCTCGCGTGTGGGGGAGGCCAAGCTGAGGGGACCCGCCGGCTCCTTTGGGGCCGTTGGTTTGGGACTTTAACGGATTCTGCTCCGRGAGAGGCGGTTTTTCAACGCATTGTAACAGATGCGGTGTTAAAAGGATTTCGGTTACCTTTAAATGATTAATGCGGGTGGGATTTTTTAGTGTGGAACCCATTTCTGTTTGATTTGCAGGTGCTGGCAGGCCTTGAGGGCTTTAATGGAAGTAGAAATGCAGTAAACCAGTGGATGAGGCACAGAATTAAGTCTCAGCATCTGGAAGCTTTAGACAGAGTGTCAGTGTATTAAACGTTGGAGGTCGTGGTTTTCCAAAGGACCTGGATATATTTCAGGGCTGTAGAGCAGTAAAATGTTTGCCAAATTGAAGAAGAAGATCGCGGAGGAGGCAGCGGTTGCTCCCAGGCCCGCAGGAGCCGCCCGCATCCCCAGGTCTGTCAGTAAGGAATCGATCACGTCTGTGGGAGCAGACTCCGGAGACGACTTTGTGAGTTACACCTTGCTGTGAAATCTGATTTCTCTGGCAGCATTTTTATGACGGTTTTSCAGACAGCCATTTCAAGTCTAGTATGTGATTTGAATACGTGCKGTGGTGTCTTTGTATCTCTTAGTGCATAAATGTATCGTTAGCTTTAAACTTAAATATTGCAGAGAAAATGTTTGTTAAACACAGCTGTTGCCAGGAGGCTTTCATTCCCATGAAAACATGAGTTACAAACCTGTTTCAATATAAAACGTTGATAAATAGACATAAAATATTGAATAAAGCTATAGTTATGCGTAAGATACCTATTAGTTAAACTAATTACTYTGGCATAGAATCCTAGAATGGTTTGAGTGGGAGGTGACCTTACAGCAGGATGGTGACCTCATCCACCCCCTGCCATGGGCAGGGACACCTTCCTCTACACCAGATTGCTCCAAGTCCTGTCTCACCTGGCCTGGAACCCTTCCAGGGATGGGAAAGCCACAGCTTCTCTTTCATTAGGAAAGCCAGCTAGATGCTGGCCAGTTATCATTTTACCTCTTGGCTTCTTGGTGCTTTTCCTACCTGAGACATTGTATGTGTCTCTGTTGAAAATGTGTGTGTGGTGGTGTTGCACGCAAAACTATTGTTTTCCTCTCTTTCATTATAAAACTTTGTTTGAATAAGTGATGAAGTTTCCAGGAGCGTATGGGTTAAATGAAACCCTGGAATGCTCTGGCATCTCTGCCCTGGATGGCTGTCTGTCACATTTTTGAAAGCCTGGATTAAGGCAGTGTCACCCCACTGCTGGAGCCAGCAGGACCCACTGCAGACCCAGCAGCAAATCTCTGTTTGCTGTCTGCAAAGTGAAGAAGTTATTTGCACAGTTGAGCTTTAAATATTTTTTTCTGAAGTTCAGCTTCAATTCTGTTAAGCAGAAAGTTGGAGCTCCTGATATYTAAATACATTTTAGTATTTATTAGTCTTGCTTTTCAGAGGGGATTTTTTATCACTGAAGAAATTCTCATGCAGAAATTCTGTTTACCATCTTGCAAGTTTAGAAAACAGAAAACAAATAATGATAGTGACTGAAGTCTTGAGTGGTTTTCAGAAAACCTCCAAGAATTAGTYGTTTTATCAATATTCATTTAGCTGCTCTTACTATTGATTTTTATGGAGCAAAAGCCACCAGAGGATTCATAAGTCAGTTATGCAGCAGATTTTGCATGGGCAGATTGCTGCATCAGGGCTTCAGTGAGCTTGTCCCAATTGAAAAGTATTACTGCTTCTTTTCTAATTACTTTGATTTTTGCTTTGASCTTTCCTGGTGTCTGTGCTGTAGAGCCTGATTTCCTCCCCTTCAGTCATTCCATTCCAGCATCTCCTCAGTGACAGTTTGGACAAACAGCCCCAGCTCCTTCCCAAGCGTTGTGCTCTGGGGAACAGGCAGCCTGGCACAGCTCGCTGTTTAAGCTCTTGCTGGTTTTCTCCTTCAGCACTTTTTACACATTCTGCTGTGCTAGTACAATTTTCCCCTTTATGTGAAAAACAAGTGCTGTTCCTAGGCAGCAGAGTGGTTATTATCCCAGACTTAATGTATGGCAGGATCACTTTTTCTAAATTTTGTAAGTTATRGAGTGTTGCTTTTCTCCCAAGGCTTCTGATGGAAGCAGCTCCAGAGAGGATCTTTCMTCCCAGTTGTTCAGAAGAAATGAACAAATAAGAAAACTGGAGGTGAAGCTGTCTGGTATGTGATACATGTAAAACTTGCTACTTAATAGAAGTGTTTCCTTTGAATGTGAGTAGTTTAATTGATTAAAAATACATGGGGTTAGGGTCTTTTGAAAATTGATTTGTAGCAGCCCTGTTGATTGCCAACAAAGGAACATCCATTATCAGATGGCAGACACCTTTCCTGAACAGAGTTAAATATATCACTGTTCTGTGATGAAGTAAAAAGGGGGGGACTGGGGACTGTTGTTCATGCTCTGGTTCTGCCCTTGTCTGTGTGACTGACACCCCTGGGACAGGCCCTTCTGTTTGTGCCAACCCTGTGGACAGTACAGAACTCTTTGCTTGTGTTCATTGTTGTGGTCACCCAAGTTTTGCTCAGCAGGAATGATTTTCTGATTAAGAAAATCATTGTCATTTGCCACTCATCCTTTTTTCTTTTTTTTTTGTTACCCTAAAAATGTCCTTCCCCAATGTCTGCCCATTCCTGGTCTGTTCTTCTCCCTCCTCACACAAGATTATGCTGATCAGATCCGAAACTTGCAGAAGATAAAAGAGAAGCTTGAAAATGCATTAGAAAAGCATCAGGATTGTACGTACTTTTCTCTTTTTCTTTTAGTTTGCTTTTTTTTTTGAAATTGAAAATTGCTGTGGTTGGAAGGAAAGGGGTTTGTTGTACAGGTTTGCTAATGATTTCCTTTCAAACTGTGCACCTCAGTACTGGGAAGAATTAGAACATGAGTTGTTACCTTACTTACAGCATAACAAGCAGCAGTAGTGTGTTGAACCAAGTTGTTATTATACTCCTTTTGCCAAATTTGGGACTAACATGCAGGAAAGACCTTTTAGAAACCCACAGCTTTGTTCTAATCCAGCAATGAGCCATATTCCTGTCTGCTGTTAGCTTTGGCTCCTGGCCAGTGTGCAAGCAGGGAGGGAATGAGCGGTGCAGCGTTAGTGCGACAGCCAAGATGGGGCTAATTGCTTGCAGAAGAATCTCTTTAAAGTTATAAATAACTTACAGAAAAGTGAGAAGCGATTTTAAAAGATGAGTTTTTAATATAGCTGGTGGTTCTCTGTTGATAGCCTCCATGAGGAAGTTTCAGGAGCAGAATGAAGCTCACCAGGCCAGTCGAGCCAAGATGGCTGAAGGAATGGCCTTGGCCTTGGAAAAAAAGGACAAGGTAACAGAGCTTGAGCTGGACTTTTGATTCTCCTGACCCTGATGTTTTAAGCAGGTGTTGCTGTTAATTAAAATAATTGTTCAGCACTGTGTGTGAGTGTGCCAACACTGAGGGAAGGAGGGAGTGCTGAGCTCAGTGCCARGAATGGTGCTGGACTTGTCACTGCTCAGACTGTTCCGACTGGTTTTAACAAGAGCCCACAAAAATTCCTAATGAAAGGTTAAGCTTGTGCTTTGATAACATTCAATGGCAGCAGACCTGTTGTCACTTTTATTTTACTTGCATTAAGCTTWTGTATTCAGGTATCTTAAACGTTCCTCAGCCTTTATCTATTCAAGCAMTGGYTGTKACTCTACTGCTGCCATTTRTTTTTTAAATCATTACCAAAGTTTAATATCTGCTAATAATACAAATTTTTTTAAAACCATAATTGCTGTCCTTGAAAGTCTAGAAATAGRTTTTGATTTCTTTTTTCTCYYTTCTTTCTTTCTTGTTCAGGAGTGGATGGAAAAACTTGGTCAAGTTGAAAAGGTATTTAACCACRGAGGTTTTTCTTGGGGGGTGTAATGTGTCTCTGTGTGTGTATTTGTAACCACCAAMCTGTGCACTTCCAACTCTATCAGAACTCAACTCTATTCAGCCTTTTCTATTATTTAATCTTTGTTCAGTGGGAGAGGCCAATAATTTGCTTTTGTTACCAACTCCAGTGCCTGGGGAGGTATTTCTGCAATTCTTTTTCAGGGTTGTGATGAAAAGGTTGTCCTCCTGTAAGGTGGAATACTGTCCTTTTGTAAGAGTTCAGTTTAGGTGGTCATTGGTGGCATTGTAGTGAATTCAGATTTCTGTTTGTATTTTTTTTGAGTTTGGTACTTTGCACAGTGACATGAATCTGAAAGGATTTTTAGTTCTATATGGAGCACCATCAGGAGCTGTATGGCTGCAAGACAAGATTTCTTTCCCAAAGGGTTCTCCTAAACTCCCATTGACTTGACATGTACCTACAGATATTCTTGGATTTCTTCTGGTTTTGTTCATTTATCAGGAAAAAAAAATGCTCCAAACACAGTTACAAGAAATGAGGGAGCAGAGTTTGAACCTTTTCCAAAAACGAGATGAAATCGATGAACTGGAGGGCTTTCAGCAGCAGGAAATTGCCAAAGTTAAACACATGGTAAGAATATTTTTATGTCTTAATTTTTTTACTAGAATATTAAGTAGCCCTGCATTCATTTTTTTAGCCTTTATGTTTGTTCACAGATTTGGTTAGTGTCAAAATCCTAACAATAGGTACTGAATACAATGTTATGTAGTTTGTTATCTCAGTTCTGCCCATAACTTAGTGAAACAGGCAACTTTCAATGAAAARGTTTATCAGTATTACTGGTCATCTGTAATGCCAAAGATAATCTTCTAATATTCAGCTTTTGAAAAAGGAAGAATCTCTTAGCAGAACAGAGCAGGAGCTCGAGGCATGTGCTCAAGAGCTGACCCAGGCTAAAGCGGAGCTGCAGGAGGCGAGGAGCGAGTCCTCGAGCCTGAGGAAGGATCTCCAGGACTTGCAGCAGCAGCTCTTGGAGCTGCAGGCTCACAGGTATGGAGCTGCTCTTTCAGAGGAGCAATGAATGTGTTTCCCCTGTATTTTTACTTCATGCCCAGTTCTGTCTCTTTGGAAGASTTTATGTATGTAATGAGTTGACTGAATTGTTGCCTCTGCTACAGCCATGAGGATGTAAATGTCAGGCCAGTGATAGTAATACTTGTTYAGGTTTTTATAAATTGAATATTTGCTTTTTTCATAGTTCGAATGCTTAACAGTCACTTTTTTGGAAAATACATAATCAAGCAGTGATTGGTGATGGTGGCTGTTTTTTAGGGCAAGAAAATTTTGTTGTTGCTTAGTCCATTTTCATAAGGAGCAGAATTATCTGCTAAAGATTATTTTTCTGGAATGGTATGTCACTTTTTTTTATTCTCTTTCTGTGAAGAGATGAACTAATGACAGCTGAGACAAATGCAGAAAATAAGATCACTGCTCTGGAGTTAAGAGAACAGGAGCTACAAACTGTCATTCAGCAGCTTTCTGTAGACTTGCAAAATGTAAGTTTGAGCTAAGTGAGAATTGATTCAAAGAGCTCCATGTCTGCAGAAGTTAGATTAGATATCAGTTATGTGGTGTTGGAAATTTAATTTCAAAGTAAATAATTTCTCAAAATGTTTAGGCTCGAGTGGCTGGTTCTGGTTGTGAGAAGAGACTGGAAGTGTTACAAGAGGAGCATGAATCTCTGAAGGTGGAATATGAGCAACAGAAGCAAAAGGTGAAGTGCTTTCAGATGCTTGTGCTGTTGCTGGTGTAAAGGTGCACATTTGGGTTATATACACCTTTGTGTTGTTGGAAGTTTGGTGTCTAGAAAGTTTTGTCTTTTCAAACAGGACTTTCCATTCTAATGGCATTTCTGAGAGTCAGAACACAACAGATTAGCTGAAAGCTTCATTACAAAAAGATTCTGTTTTTTCTCATTCTCACAGATAACTTTTGAATTTGCTGAGAAGAATAAACTTACTGAACAGCTACAGGAAAAGGTGTCTTCTCTGGAAAAAAAGCTAGAAAGAAATCTCTCAGGAGATGAACATGTGCAGGAGCTCCTCAAAGAGGTARTTACACAGTTACAGGCTGCTTAGCAGTATTACTGAGCTGTTTCTTTTGGGGTTTTTTGGTCATACATTACCTCTCACCCRTGGAAAGCATAGCTGCTGATGTCATGCAGGCACATTTGTCCCTTCAGTGTGTTTTGGCACGCTGTGCTGGGCAGAACATGTGGGTGGCTACACTGAGCCTGTTTGTGTAGATCCTGCACAGATGTCTGTGTTGGCCTTTCTGCATTGTCTCTTTGGGCACTGCATCTGTCTCCTTAGAAGGAACAGAGCAGTTCTTAGCATTCCCACAAAAGGTGGAACAATTTCAGATTCTTTTGGATTAAACCTTACAGGAACAGTGAATGCTTTTCCTTGTTCTTTGGCAAGGCAGTGGSGCAGGGAGGGGAACTGTTTGCACATAGGTGTGCAAACAGAATGTTGTATGCTGAAAACCAGCTGAAAACAGAAACTTAATGTGGGTAATCCCCTTCTCTCTTTGATTCTTGATCTCTTTCTCAAGCACTGATGCTCCTGCTYAGAATCAGCCTGGAGCAGTGTTTCCCCAGCTGGGTCTTGGGGAAACAAGGGAATGTTTGCTCTTCCCTGATCAGGGTGCCTACAGTCACATCACCTCAGTGTTGCTGTGACAAAAGAGCTTGGCTTAGTAAATTCAAGCCAATTTAAAATCCACGTGGAGATACTAAAACATTCTGTCCCATTTTAGTTTGACCTTATTAATGAAATGAAAAGAAAAATTTGAATTAACCCAACTTACGTCTTTATCCATCTTCCCTCCTGTTCTTCACCTCAATGTAATGTTCAGAAAGCTGCTGTGGAGCAGAGGCTGGAGGAGAGCAGGCAGCAGGTGCTGACAGACAGGACACAGCACAGTGAGGCTGTCAGCCGGTTGGAAACACAGGTGAGTGGTGTTTAATGGCACTTCAGARTCCCACTGTTTCCATCCTCTATCCCTACTCCTCCTCTCCTCACTGCACTCTCAGCCAAAGGTGAGACTGCAYATTTAGTCTTGAAAGGAGAATAATTGATCAGTGTGTCTGGGTATCTCCTCACTTTCATGGGTGGAGGAGGGCCTAGAGGTGATGCAGATCCTCCCTGTACTAAGAAACAAATAACTCAAGTGCATTGTGAGCAGTAGTGCTGTGGTGAGGAGYTTGTAAAAGCAGCAGGTGTCAAATAGGCAGCCTCTCTGATCTCTGTGRTTTCAGGGATTTAACATTTACCTTCCCCTCCTGGGTCTCACTGTATTATACATTTTTTTCTAATAACATAGATGCCAGTGGATAAGAATTTAATTAATGGTGTTATTTTAGAATAAAGAACTGGAACAGAAACTACGAATTGCAACAGAAACATTGAAAAAGAGCAAAGAAGCAGCTGCTGAGCAGGATCTGAAGATCCAGAAGCTGGTGAGTATCCTGCATGTTTCACTGACCAGKAACAGATCAGTCTTCAGCATCCCCAGAGACAATCACTCCTCTGTTTTGTTACTCAAGTGTTTTCTTGCTGTTTATCTCCTGAGCTCCTGTCTGTGAGTACATGACGCTGCTGCCAAAGGAATAATGTTCCTCAGTTTGCAAGTGTCTCATGGAATGGTGGCTGGTCTTGACAGAATGTCAAAATATCATTTTATTAATGTGGTGTTTTTTATTTCTCTTAAGCAAACTGATCTAGAGGCTGAAAGAAAGCAACTGCAGCAACAGATTTTAAGTGARAAACATCAATATGATCAGAAGGTTACTGGGCTGGAGTCTCAGATTGCTGCTCTTGAAAAAGCTTGGGAATTGGATAAAACAACAACTCAGCACARGATTGTAAGTGCAGAAACTGGTGGRTTGTGGGAGTCTTCACAAAATGATTTTAACACAACTTGTAGAGCTTGCTTGTTGTCTGAATGTTCTTATTCAGTGCTCCTGGCCTTCTAATACATCTCATACTTTAAGGAGCTAAATATGAGTAAAGCTTTTAGATGTGTTTAATTGTTTAAAAAAACTAGAGTAATTGTAATGCATATTTAAACTTTATTTTACAGAGCCAGTTGGAAAAGGAAAATGAAAACCTCAAGGGAAACAAAGGACAGTATGAGAGCTCTTTAAAGCAACAGGAGTCTGAGCTGAACAAGCTGAAGGTAAGGGCTGAACTRCATGGTGGTGTTGGCTCAGGACAGAGCTGAGGCTGGGGGACAGTAAACAACACAATGGGTTGCATTCAGTGCTTGGAGGCCCAGTACATTCAGGTTGCAGGTGTTTGGAACTCTTAAGTCATCTCTGCTACTCATTAGAAATGTGTTTGAGAAGCATTACATAGGGGTKATCCTATTCTGAACCAAAATGCTTGGGTCTGCCTGAATCAGGCAGAAATAATACATTCCCATATTGTCAGGCATGTGAAGAGCTTGGAAATCCTGTTAGCAGTGGTGAATACAGAATCAAACAGGTTCAACATCAAATCCCACTCTCAGTGTTCAAACCAAAAAGTTAAAAACTTAAATCCCTCTGCTGTTTACAGTTTATCCAATTTTGGCTGTAATTTTARATGGTTGAGTGCTTTTCCATAGCTACTCCTGGATGCACAATTGGAATAAAGATCTGTTGTAGCAAGGAGCTACTTCTTTGTAATAGACTTCAGGCTGAAAGATCTTACAAGCTTTGGGTTTGTTTGGGTTCTTGTATCAGTTCTGTGTTACTCTTGCATTTGTAGAGAGCAGTGGCCAGTCAAACAAACCTAACTCATTTGGAAATGATGGTGCATCAGAACACTCGTAACTGTAGTCCTAATAGATTTGGATTTAAAGATGAGAGACTGACTTGATTTAGTTGTCTCACAACCTCTCAATTATTTCTGGTTTGCAGAATGAGATGAGCAGCAGGGAAGCTGTCAGTGTGGAAATTGCCAAAGCGTTGGAAGAAACACGGAAACAGAGAGAGGAATTACAACAGCAGGTTGGTTAATAATGACTGCTTCAAAACGTRTTTGAGACTTCACCACCTTTCACAGAGGACTAGGTTTGGATTTATTTATCCTAACTTTCAAGAACATTGATCAGAATGATATCCACAGTATGTGAGACACAGCAGTGGTTTTCTGAGTAAACATGAGACTGTTTCAGAGCCCTGTGATCTGAGGTGTTACTATCCCAGCCTCTGAGCATCCCACAGCTTCTAATAAAGAAAGCTGTTTGTTCCCTTCAGTGCCTTTGTYACATCTGGGTTCCTCTGGAGCACAGCATTGTAAAATTTCACATTTCCTCATAGGGAGGAGCCTGTATCCAGTGCCCAATGTCAGTTCTGAGTAGTCTTGTTCTGCTCTTCCTGTATAAAAAATGGTGGATAATGTGAGCTTGTGTTTGTTTAAAGTAGGAACTGGCAACTGAGAAAGTTTGACTGGAGTTAGTCCCATCTTTTGGTTTCTTTATTCTTCTGGGACTGCTGTAAATCTGTGCTTGCTGGGCCAGCTCCGTGTAGAAGGGGTTTGAGGCCATCTCCTCCTTTGCTCAAGGGCTTCTTCAGCTGCCACATGTTGACTGTGACAATCTGATGGTGGCACAGAAGCCATGTGGGGTTTAGCTCTTCCAGCATTAACTTCAGTTCTTGTTACTGAGAGTGGCATTGTGGAGGTAAATGCCTGCTGAGCTTCTGAAGGATGTTGGAATCTTTCAATGCCCTCATCCTGTTTATATCTTTAATGACTTCTGTTTATTGTTTGTCTACTTTGAAGGTTTCACATCTGAATGCCTTAATGAAAGAGAAAGACCAGCTGCTTGATGAAAAATGTGATCTGCTGCTAAAACAGAAGGAAGAACTGAACCAACTCACTCAAGGTCAGACCAAATGAATCTGCTGTATCCCAGACAGCCTTAAGTACAGTCTCTACTTCTGGCCTTGCCTGGTAGATTGTAATTTTTCTAGATTTCTCTTCCATATTTAATCTCTTAGAATTTTAAGAGTGGTTTATTGTTTATTAACAATTGGACAGTCTCTCTTCTGTTTGTCTCTCTCCTGACTTTCTGTCTTCATGACAGACAGAATGGATTAGAAACTCCCATTTGATCTGAAGCACTGATTCTAAGCAGTCTCTCCTTTCCCAGACCAYGAAGCTGCCTTGCTTCAGGTGCATCAGTTACAGTCCGACATAGAAGCAAGTCAGAGCCAAGCAGTGGAGAAAGAGGAAACAGCAAGAAAGGAAATCGATGAGCTGAAGCTACAGGTACAGGAGTGCCTGTTGGCCAGAGAGCATGAGAAAAATGTGAGTGTGGTTGCAAATGCATTCTGTCAGACTTCCCAGGAAAAGAGGGAGCTGTGCAGGATTCCCCCTGTTCCATCCTGCTGGGAGCTCTTAGCTCTGACAACTCACTCATGACCTGGAGCACCAGCAGTGTAGAGCACCACTGTTTGYTGTTCCCTGCCTTCCTAAAGAAGGCTGTTTCCTGTCAGATCTGTGGCTGATTTACAAAAGACACCTCTTTACTTTATTTGACTCATAAATTTTCTTGAGAAAACCGTCATGAGACCAGTGAGGCAGAGACACAAAAGTAATAAGCAGGCCAGTAACAGATGGGGCCAACTAGGGGTGCCACAATTGCTTTCTGGTTTAAAAGCCACCCCCAAAAACAACAGCCAAAAAGAAGTCTGGCTTTCTCCCTGGGGAATATTCCTGGGCTGCAAATGTCATATCTCTCCCCTTCACTGGTTATTTTTATAGGTTTTAGAACTGGAGGAGTCAACGAGGGCCTTGAACAATGAGCATTTCCCTTCTCCAGAAAACTCTGTGGTGGAGCAGAATGGAGAGGTGGCAGCTGCAGATGTCAMTCAACTTCAGAAAGATAACAGAGAGCTGGAACAGCAAATTGCTGAGAAAAACAAGGTGAACAGAAACAACTGGTAGTCTTTCCCCTTCTAATTAGGAAGCTGAGTGATTTGGGCTGCCCATGCTGCAGCCTTAAGATGACAGGCCTGTCTGATTTGAATCCAGTATGCTGGGAGTAAATGCTGGGGTCCTGACAATGCTGTGTTAAACTCTCCTTTGCTGTGCTTACAGATGATAAAGCAGCTTCAGCAAAGAATGACAGAACTCAAGAAAACTCTCCAGAAAGAGCTGGTAAGGRTTGTTTGTTTTCAGTCTCTTCAGATGGCACTTGCTGGCAGGTCCTTGCACTGTCATTCCAAAAGCAATGGTTTATCTCTCCAAGAAAAAAAAGTCWATTTGAATAAAATTAACAGAGGTTTTAAAATTGTTATTTTTGCTCTGGGCTTGAAAATTGTTCTGAAGAAAGCCCACATTTGAAAGGCTCAGAGCAGATTAATGATAGCAGAAAATTACCGAGGGACAGTTTCTGCCATGGAGCCAGTTCCATGCTTGTAATGTTCACAGAACACTGACATCAACCAGCTCCTGTCCTGGAGTGGAGGGAGAGCTGGAGACACTCCTCTGCTCTGACCCTGTGAAGGACAAGAAGCTCTTGATGCCCAGTTTGTATTCACCTATGGATACAAAGCTCTTTAGATATCCTGAGCCCAGACCCCTCCCAGTGCCACACTGACAGAGTCTCCAATGTAATTCTCTTCTTCCTTTGTGATTTTTATTTTTGTAGAAAATAAGGCCTGACAGTGAGGTACCTGAGCTACGTGAGAAAGCAAATTCTGAAGTGCCTAATGCTTCTGTGACTGTCACCAACAACTCTGATTTGAACGACTCGAGGGAGATAAACTTTGAGTACCTTAAACATGTTGTACTAAAATTCATGTCCTGCAGGGAATCTGAGGTAAAGGTGTCACTTACCTTCTCTTGCTACATCTGTGTCTCTCTGGAAATTGCCACCTGTCATCTGCTAAAGACACTTTATGCCATTTCCATAATTTTATAATTAAAAAAGTGTACAATGGGGGCCAATGAAACAAAATAGCTAACAGCAATGTATTTGGAAGTACATGAAAGRTAAATGTGAGTTTTTAGGAGGTAGTTGCATCTGGATGTTAGAGATCTACTTCTACAAGAGATTCCCTSTGCACTGCTCTGAAGAGCACAGGGAGTATGTAATTGGCTGTACATTTAAGAAAGAGAAAAAAAAACCAAGAGAAAGAGACATAAGTGACTTGTTGGTCTGTAAGAGGTAATTCCTTGTGCATTTGGAGTGCCTTCCTGTTCTCCACATTGTGTTAAAAAGTCATGCAAAAAAACCCCTTAATTTCAATTTAGTAGGTAAGGCTAAAAAATAACTGCCCAACTCCAGAGTATCCTGAGTGCTTGACTCTGTCACTCAGTGCCCCGTGTGCCCCAGTGTGAGTACTGTGGAGTTAAAGTACCTCAGTATTTGAAATGAGGAGAATCTCTCCTGCCTTGTGCTGGTTTGAGCCACCTTTCAGAGCAGAAGCCAGGCTGCTTCTCTACTCTGACTAACCAGGCTCCCRATTGTCTTCTTTCTCCAAAACATGCAAAAAAATATTAACACAATAATATTATTGCCAGGAAACACAGAAGTTAGATACAGGCCATCCTAGTCCTTTGAAACTGGGAATAATTGTAGGCTGCTTGTCTGCTGAAGTCTGTGGCAGACCTACAGAAGTCTCTGCTGCACCATAATCCTGAGTGTAGAGCATCAAAAGCAACACAACCCTGTGGTTTCTTTCAGGCATTCCATCTCATTAAAGCTGTGTCTGTGTTACTGAATTTTTCACAAGAGGAAGAAAACATGCTCAAAGAAACTTTGGAGTACAAGGTAAGGGTTCTGTGCCTGGGACCCCCAGGAGACAATGAAAATTCCTAGATGCCAGGGGATTAGGAAAAGTGTCTTTTTCCCAAATGTTAGCTACAATTATAAATGTAACACTGACTAAAGGCAGCATGTTTAAATGACTGTAGAGTTCTAATTTGAAATTATTTTAGAGGAATATTTGTAAGTAAAATCTTCAGTCATTTTCACCTGTGGGAAGTGGGTGCTGTTCCTTCCAAATCTGATTGTGTGAAGCTGCCTCCACTTCTTCAGTCTGGAGTCTGCAGCAATCTGATTTATAAATAGTTCTTTCCATCAAGTGATGAGAATGTGGCTGTGTAATGTAAGATGTGAAAAAGAACGAATACAAGGGTGAGCCCTGTGTGATGTGTGCTGTGCTGTTGTGTCCTAGATGTCCTGGTTTGGGTCCAAGCCATCTCCCAAAGGCAGCATCCGGCCRTCTATCTCCAGCCCAAGGACTCTGTGGCCTTAAGGGAACCTGAAGGTGGCAGGCAGTACCCAGGCACTTCTTTCTGTGAAAAGAATGCTGAACACACTGCTCCAGGTGTGTCTTAATCACTGTCATTGCAGTATTTTGTACAAGAACTTGTGGCTCTGTTTACAAAACTAATACTGTGCAAGGAGACGTTTTCACTCCAGACTGCGACAGCTCTGGGCTGGATTCAGGGACCACCTGGGTGTCTGTGATGGGAGCAGCTCCTTGTGCCCATCACTCCTGGGTTCTTGGCACCACAGGGCACCGAGGAGCTGGCTGGCAGCAGTGCTGCCACTTCAGTCTCTTGGGATGGTGGTTCCAGCTGCTGTTCCAGGGTGCTGGAGTCCAGTGACTCTGGGCACAGAAAAGCTGCTTGTCTGGCTGTGGGGAGCCAGCAATGAAAACGTGTTGGTAGAAGTGTGTTGAGAGTGGGATGGTTTGCAAAGCTTTTCACGGGACAGGAGCAGGAGCTTTAACCAAAAAAGAACTCTGCCTTGCCTTCTAATACTGACATAACTAATGGTTGGCATTTTTTCATATCACTGTGTAATTTAAGGTGCATTTATCCTRGCCTGCAGTCCTCAAGGCTGCATGTTGATGATTATTTAATTTGAGAGCACAACTTTAGAGTTGTCTGATTTTACTTTTCTTAAAGAAAAATAATATTTAAAATGGTCTTAATTATAGTACCTAATCCTCAGTCGCCTTTAAAACTAATCCATTAGCCTGTTCCATGGATTGTTAGCAGTGGGAAAAGGGGTAGGAAACCATTTTAAATTTTTAAAGATGAGTTCCAGGTATTGTAAATCCACACTGAAAAATACCTTTTATTTAAAAAAAATAAAAATAAAAATCTAGTGACAAAGGGTCAAGAATGCTGGTACTAAACACTTTTATTTTTTTCTTCCAAGTCTGTTAGCAATACATCCTCATAAACAGGATCTGCCTCTTTGGTTGTGGTTTTCTGTACTTCAAATACTGATACTTAAAAACTGTTATGAACATGCTAACTGTGTCCTGACTATATGGTAAAAGAAATGCTGCTTAGGAGGGGTTTTGGGGCAAAATTCAACTCTTAGTGAACAAATTATGGTTCCATCACCTTGTTTTCCTAATACAGTCAGGAAAGTGGACCAAGGTGGCACTTCCCCCCCTGAAAGCACAATTCTGCTCACAGTTATTAATACCACTGCAAAATCTGGATCCAAATGGGAAGCAGCACTGTCTTACTTCTTAAAAATGAAACCTATTTCTAAAAAACTACGTGTGTATGGAATTCGGTGAGCAAGTTGCAATTCGGAGAATTCTCGTACAGGGAAGTTCATACTTCTACTGAATATATTCAGGACAATTCAAGCTTTCTCCAGTGGAGATGCAGTCACTGTTGAGGTGTTTTTAACTTGGTTGACAGGGCTCTGACTGACCTTGGTGTGGCTGGAGGTGCAGCAGGGGAGCTGCAAGGKGTGAGGTCAGGTGAGCTCAGTCAGCAGAAGGTGATGGTGCTGATCCAGAGGATCCAGACCTTGCTGCTCTCCCAGACAGCCCCATCCCAGACACAGGTACTGCCAGGAGCTGTTCTGGGCACAGGGGATACTCTACTCCTCAGCTTAGAGCCAGGCTGGATTTATCTGAAGTTAAGAAAACCAACAGGATTCTTTTCGTACACTAAAGCTTGTCCAGTCTTTAGTAAATGGATTCATGGCACTTCCAGACAGGATAGAGCATGGAAGGGTTCAGCCCTGCTCTATGTGAAAAGAGACAATCAAAAAGTACATTTATTTCAATTGTTTCTCTACTGATACACAGCAGGGTGGAATAACCCTGTTGGTTCTGGGAAGATTTTATTCTCTGAGATCTTTTCCTTTCTAATGTTCCTTTGCCCTGCCCTGTTTTTGTGGGACCAGGGGTCAGGACTCCCTCACTCCCACCAATCCCTGCTGAATGATGATTGGGTTCATGCTGATCCTGGCTTCAAAGGTTACTGCTGAACACTGAGGAAAACAGGACAGGCAGCCTGGAATGGAGTGACRAAGTGACAAACTAAAATCTTAGGTTATATATCCACTAACAACTTCAGTTCAGATCCCAAAGCTCATASAGGATCAACTTATCATAAAGTAGTTCTTAAGTGTTGAATTTTCATTAGATATCAGAGTGAGACTGGTGTGTATAGATGTATTAAAGAGCTAATGCACTTTCCCTTGTCTCAGACAGTGGTTATACATGATCCTTTCTATTGCCATTGGATTTCTTTCCTTCTATGCTGTAAATACAGATTGTATGATGAAACACTATGAAATTTGTGGTGCAATACATTTTGGATCAAACCCCTAATCTTGATTTCTTTCTTTATATAGTACTGGTTGTCTCCCCTGGGATGCTATAGCTATTTAAAATTTAATTATAAAGTGTTACCCAAGCCCCACCTTTGCCCAGGGTGGGGATGGGCAATGGCAGCAGTGCCACCACGGCCTTTCATAGGGAGTTGTGCCACAATGAGGTGGCACTTCTGCCTCYTAAATCACCTCCCACCCACCAGGARCAGCTGCTGCTGCACTTTGAGCAGCTGATGGAAGGAGGACTGGGTGGAGCTGCTGCTCCTTGGTGCCAAAGGGCAGCGAGCCCTGCCCAAGGCAGAGGGACCTGGGGACAGCCATGGCTCAGGAGTCCTGTCCTGCCTGGCAATAGCACGGGAAAAAATTCTGCTGCAAAGGACACACTAATGCAAAAATTACAAGTTCTGAAGTTTCTCCTCGACTTTCTAGCATGGATAAGAATATAAAAATCAAACCTGGTGTGAGTATGTATCTAAGAAGTTGTGGTTGGAAAGCTGAGCTTGGTCTCAAATCCAGGACACAGCTGGATTTGAGGACAAATTCTCTTAAGTAGCTGGAGTTAGGAGCAATCACAGACAGGACACTTAGCTTGGACTCAGTTATTGCTGGCCTGCTTTGGAATAAGCATCAGACTTAAAGTTTAGCTGAAAAGAAATTCTTTAACTCGTGTGATCCAAGAACTTTATTGATGCAGCAGGCACTTCACTTTACATGGAACAGTCCTTTGACCACACGCTGAAAGCTGCTGTTCTAACAGCCCTTCTCCCAGCATCAGCTGCAGGATCAGCCCAGACACAGCTACCTTGGGACTAAGCAGGACACACGGGGGCTTGTATCACCACACCTGGCTAAAGCAGCATCTGAAATACCTGTTCACTTACAGTGAGGAGGCAGCAGTGTGCCTTCTCTCTGCCTGGTAAAGAAGGGAGCAGGAGAATGTCTTGGCTCCTGTATGTGATAGTCGAATATGCAGGAATACCTTTACTCTTCCCCCACCTTTAAGGTTAAAAGCATTCCAAGAGGAGGTTACTGTAGGATTTCAGTAGATTGCAATCTCTAAGAAAGATGGACCAGTGTCATTTCAGCTCATTCCTTCTTCTGAGTCCAAACCTGACCRTCACCTCTGTCCAAGTTAACAGTCTTTACACAGTCTTTCTTGCTGTAAGAACTCTTACTATGGAGCCCAGGCCTCCTACTGCCAGCGCCTGTGGGAAAGGAGAGAAGTTACAAAGTCACTGCATCCCACAAAGAACAAACACTGAAGGGTTGAGCTACAAAGGGAATACAGCTCTGCTCCAAAATCAGACACTGTCATTYTCCACAATCTAACCATCTTTTGGATCTTGAGGATTGCAGTGTTGCATGTCAGTGACAGGGCAGAATGTCACACCTCCCGTATCCCTGAGCAGGAGAGGAGGAAGAAGGGCTCAATTCCATTTCATTTGTGTCCCTCAACATAAACAGTGTTTCCTTCTGAAGTCTAGAAGATGGAGGTGATTTTATGAAAAAATAAATATTTAAGCTGACTGCTGAAAATAGGGCATTTAGTTTGCAGCCACAATTCCAACAAAGCCCAGGGATATGGGAGCAGCACAGGGTAACTTGGAGCAGGATTTGCAGGTGCTTCAGGCAGGTAAATGTTCCTGCCACAGACCTCGTCCAGAGGACAGACTGGAACTACCACTGAGCAAGCCACAGGTCCTACCAGTACTGCCACAAAGCAAACACCAGGCTTTAAACCCTGCCCAGCCTATTAAACCTGCCTTGWTCCTTTCACAAGAGAGGATGAGATGCCTTTCGTGTCCCTACACGCTCTGAGCACCAGTCAGGGTGGTGCTGTGTCACCTCCAACGCTGGGAGCACCCACCCATGCTTACCTGAAAACACCTCAGTGGGAACAACAAGAAAAAAGAAAAAAAAAAACAAGTGGAAACATGTTCCTTGCTGTCCTGAGAAATTCCCTCCTCCCTGGTCATGGCTCGGCAAAGCTGGTGATGGCAGCCAATRGCTGGAGTCACACCACACCTTTTAGGAAAAAGCTCTGCACCTTGGGAAAAGGACAGCAGCATTGACAGCAGCTGGGCTGCACAGGAGCTGCAGCATTCCCAGAGCACTGACAGCCAGGCTGCAGCTGAAATGCCTCTGTGGGGAAGAGTTCAGCTGGATTCCTGCCCGGGCTGTGGCACCCAGCAGCTGCTTCAGGGCTGTGCCTCACCCCGAACGCCTCATCCCATCCCAGAGAGGAGGAAGGTTCCACACTCAGCTGCTGAACACATCCCACATTCTCTGTTTCACAACAGAAACACAAGAAGTCCGCACTGCTCTCCAACGGAATCTCTGGAGACCTCAGAATCCTCTCCTGGGCAAGCCCAACAGATTTGCTAAATCCTGGGCTCAGCTGATAAAAACTGCCCAAGCTGAGGCAGCCGGAGCCCCCTGAGCTGCAGCTGCCCCTCCATCCAGCCACATCTCCACTCCCAGCCCTGCTCCTCGGCAAAGCTGCCTCGTGTTGGGTAACAAAGGCAGCACGAGGATCCTCCAGCAGGAAGAAGTCCCTGCCACACATTTCCCCATGGCAGAGGGKAAAGTTTGAAATAAAGGCAAAGGCTTTACACTGAGCTGCTCAGGGAGGAGGCTCTGCCATCACCTCCTTCCCTTCAGGGGCTCTCCCGACACCACTGACCCCGACCCCGCGAGTGCTGCTGAGCCAAGAGTGCCCCCGACACGTACCTTTTCATGCCACTGAAGTAATATTGCACTGCTGTTTTCTGTTGGCTTTTCAAATCCTTTATAAATGTACTTCATTAACAAGTCAACACCATTTCTGTCTAAAGAATTCACCGCTTGTTCTATTTCACTGCTTTTAAAAGACGTGAGGACTTTAAGCATCGTTCCCTGGGCCTGCTCCTGGGAAAAGGAGAAAGGAATGTGAGAACCAGACGGTTGGGAACGATCCCAAGACTGGTGTGTGGCAAGAGGTGGCCAMGCTCCAGGCTGGGTTATTTCTGTAAACGAGGTGAGCAGTTTTGGGGTTAAAGGAGGAAGGGGTGAACACACGGGGATCACCCATGGCAGCACAAAGCTCAGTAACCACAGCGGTGCAGCCGAGATCTCTGGGTGCCACTGTCACTGGGTGCCAAAGCGCCCAGCGGTGCCCGGTGCCCGTTACCTTCATGGCCTGGTTCCTGGTGTTGCCCGGGGAGCTGCGGATGGCGGTGTGGAAGGCCCGGAGCGCTTCACCTGTGCGGCGGCAGGTCAAGGACTCAAACCGGGACCGGGCAGCGCTGCGCTCCGAACGGCCCCGCGGCTCCGGGAGAGGAACGGGCTGGGAACGGCCCCGCGGATCCCGGGAGAGGAACGGCCCCGCGGATCACGGGAGAGGAACGCGCTGGGAACGGCCCCGCGGATCCGGGAGAGGAACGGCCCCGCGGCTCCCGGGAGAGGAACGCGCTGGGAACGGCCCCGCGGATCCCGGGAGAGGAACGCGCTCGGAACGGCCCCGCGGATCCCGGGAGAGGAACGCGCTCGGAACGGCCCCGCGGATCCCGGGAGAGGAACGCGCTCCGAACGGCCCCGCGGATCACGGGAGAGGAACGCGCCCGGAACGGCCCCGCGGATCCCGGGAGAGGAACGCGCTCGGAACGGCCCCGCGGCTCCCGGGAGAGGAACGCGCTGGGAACGGCCCCGCGGATCCCGGGAGAGGAACGCGCTGGGAACGGCCCCGCGGATCCCGGGAGAGGAACGCGCTGGGAACGGCCCCGGGGATCCCGGGAGAGGAACGCGCTGGGAACGGCCCCGCTGCTCACGGGAGGAGTGCGGCCGCTCCCCGGAACCCCCCGGCCCAAAGGATATTGCCTGAGCAGCGCCTCCACCTCCGGGCTGGCATCGGGCTCGGCCGCCGCCGCCTCCTCGGGCTCCTCCACGAAGCGATTCTCGTCGTACTGATCGATGTCCAGGCGGCGGAAGCGCGACGAGAGCGTGCTCCGCGCCATGCCCGCCCGCACCGGCGCCGCGCCAGCCGGAAACGGCACCGGGCCCGCCGCAACCGGAACCGGAACCGGAACGGGAACC